ACAGCTTATAAGACAAATAACTGCATACAGAATAACATCAATAAATGCAGTATATTTTTTGAGCATCTCTAACAACACCTCGCTAATATTGAGGAATTTCTTGACCATAATGTGGGTTGCATGATGTCAACATCTATACTAAGCGAAATGAGTGTAATTTGATAATTTTCCTTTATAAACAATGTAGAACATATTGCCTTTTTTGTTAATAAAAAAATTGTATCGATATTCTCAATTTTGGCAATGACACGACTGGATAGATAGATAGATAGAGAGATAGATAGATAGGTGTAGGTGTGGATGGAGGGACCGACACAGATAAATAGATAGATAAATGAATAGATAGAGAGATAGACAGATGGATAGATATTGTCCTACCTTAATAATAATAATACTGTACTGTATCTCTGTAACTGAAGGTGTTATGAGGAAAATTCATATTTATGAACATTTAAATACACGAGTTTAGGTAAAGTAGTTAAAAATTTAAATGTCACGACTCGCAGCTAACCAACATCACAGTGCCATTAAAAGTGTTTTGTGTCATACGTGTCTGTAACCACCGTGTAGTGTGCCGTGTGTCTAGTATTTTCAAGATGCATGATAGTTGTTGTTGTTGTTTTGTTGTTGCTTCTAGGAATACGAGGGGATCCCTACACATGAACCATGCGGCGGTCGACAAAATTAAGAAGAAAACCCAGAAATTCAAGACGTGGGTTGGGTCAAACGATGAGCAAGACAGGAGGATGTATGCAAGAGCCAGAAACCAAGCAAAGATAGAGTGTAGGAGGGCTGAAAAGGAGTTCCAAAGGCTGGTTGCACGCGAGGTCAAGTCAAACCCAAAGGCGTTTTACCGCTATGCAAAGTCGAAATTGAAAACGCGAGTAGGAGTATCAGACCTGAGGCTTGAAGATGGTAGTTACGCAGATTCTGACCAGGATAAAGCTGAGGCATTGAACAGCTTCTTTTCCTCAGTGTTCACAAGAGAGGATGCAACTAACCTTCCTGCGTTTGAGGACAGACGGTTCGACACAGCACTGACCCACATTGTGTTCACAGAAGAGGGTATTAGAAATAAACTGTCCAGGCTAAAGGTCCATAAGAGTCCTGGACCTGACATGGTGCATCCTAGAGTGCTAAGGGAGCTGTGCAACGAGCTTGCAGAGCCCCTGAAGATTCTGTTTTGTAAATGCCTGGATGAACAAATGGTCCCCAGTGAATGGAAAGTGGCTTATGTGAGTCCTATCTTCAAGAAGGGCGATAGTCACTCCACGAACAACTATAGGCCGGTGAGCCTGACCAGCATAATATGTAAAGTACTTGAGAGTATTATCAGAGATGCAGCGATGGAACATCTACTACGAAACAACCTTGTAAAAGATTGCCAACACGGTTTTATGCCGGGGCGCTCTTGCTTGACACAATTGCTCAAGGTATTGGATATTTGGACCCATATTCTAGAACGGGGTGGTAATATCGACAATATTTACCTAGATTTTGCCAAGGCTTTCGACAGTGTACCCCACGAAAGGCTGAAAATCAAACTGGAAGGGTACGGAATTCGGGGAAATGTCCTAGCGTGGATAGAAGACTTTCTACATGACCGCAAGCAATGTGTGGTGATTAATGGCACGAAATCGTCATCTGTACCTGTAACAAGTGGGGTACCGCAGGGTAGTGTATTGGGCCCGCTGTTGTTTGTTTGTTTCATAAATGATATGCCTGACGTTGTACACTCCTCCATACAAATGTTTGCCGATGACGCCAAGTTATTTCGGGAAATTAAGAACCAAGCGGACTGTGAAGAGCTGCAGAAGGACCTCTGTGGGCTCCAGGAATGGTCGAAGGAATGGCTGCTGAGATTCAATGTCACGAAGTGTAAGAGGATGCACCTGGGGCGTACCAACGGTAAGGAGGCGTACCATATGTCCCAACGGGATGAAGAAAATGTACTAGTTGAGACTGTGTGTGAGAAGGACCTAGGTGTGTATGTTGACAATGAGCTGAAGTTCTCGGGCCATTGTGAGAAGAAGGTAAATCAGGCAAATAAATTATTGGGTCTTATAAGAAGGTCGTTCAGATATCTAGACGGTCCGTCCCTCGTGACGATCTTCAGGAGTGAAGTGCTTCCCCATCTGGAGTACTGTCACCCCATCTGGTCCCCGAGATATGCTAGGGACTGTCAGTTGGTTGAAAATGTTCAAAGGAGGGCCACCAAACTGGTGCCTGCACTTCGGCACCTCAGCTACCCTGAGAGATTGGAGCGCCTGAACTTGCCTAGCTTATACTACAGACGGGCAAGGGGGGACCTAGTTGAGGTTTATAAGCATCTCAGGGGGCACTACTCAGTTGAGTGTCCTTACTTGGAGCTGGCGGACGCTCGCCCCACAAGGGGTCACAGCTCAAGATTGAAGAAGCCGCAAGTCCAGAAAACCGTGAGGGCAAACTTTTTCGGAGTGAGGGTTGTAAACTCTTGGAACAATCTACCAGAGAGTGTTGTGACGGCACCGAGTGTGAGCTCTTTCAAGAGAAGACTTGACCAACACTGGAGCGGGTTCAGGTACATTCAGGAGCCGGTGCATGCCCAGTATTTGCCAACAGTGCGTGACAGAGACGTGACCGATCGCCCGGGCGGCTAGCGAGCCGACCTTTTGGTGAAGAATATAAAGGAAAAGAGACGTGACCGATCGCCCAAGCGGCTAACAAGCCGATCAGTGGCGAAGAGGATAAAAGTAAGTAAAAAAAGTTTCATCGTAACTGACAAAGAAAAAATATTGGTGATTTCATAAATCTTTTTTGTTTTACATTTATATTTAACGGCCAATATTATGAAATTTTCAAGGAACTTGTATTTTGTTTTACTAACCTTATAACCTCTAGTGGGGGCCCCACGGCCAAGATATTCACACTTTAATAGTTCTTGGTTTCATACACAGTTCTAGAAATTGTACATGATACATTATGTAGGCTATAATGTTCAGGCTTAATTTTCTTACTTCTGCAATCTTCTCCAGCTTCCATGCCAGATTTTGTGATGAGAATGTCATTCAGTAGTTGTAGACCCATCGTATTTCTTTTTTGTCTTCGTGTCAATTAACATTGAAAAAATCAGTTTCAGCATTTGAGTGGAGAAGGGCAAGTACCAGTTTGGCTAAGCTTGGCAAGTTTTTTAAAACTAGTTCATCTTCAACATTTCTTACCTCAGAAAAAATATCCAGAATTCAGTATCTGTTTTCTTTTTCAATTCTATCATTTCATCTCCATTAAAGGAAAGGGGCCAATTTAGTTTTCTTTTTAACTGTGTGAGAAATTTATAGTGTTTCTTCAATCGGAAATTTAGAATTTATGACCAGCGAAATATGCACGATAACTAGTTGTGATTACACTACGTTTGCCCCCCTTTAGTATTATCACCCAAGCCAAGAAAATAGGCTAAATTACCCTACGTATAGGTTGGCAAGACTGCGTTAGCGTTTGTAATCTATTGTAAGCTTTAAACCTTCCGTAAAATCCAATAGTATGAATATAAATATGCTTTATATCTTATAACATATTATTTTCTTTTGGAAGATAGTAAAGGCCTTATATGTCACCCCTTAGAACAAACAAAAACAGTCGTTAACTCAAGTAAACAATACCAAACCAATATTTATATCCGAGTTATAAAGAGTGTTAAAAATTTAAATTTATTCAAAGAATTTTCTTTTATATAGCAATTTATTCATATTAATAAAACAAATAAGTAAATAATTTTATTAATAAATAGAAATATATTTTCTTTGGGTTGAAATTTGTATAAAACTTATCAGGTTTTGTAACGGGGAATTACAGACGAGCATTCCAGGCTGGGAGAGTATCAGCTCTATGGTGTCACAGGGAGGAAGATCGATGAGTTCCTCTCAACATCATGATAGGTAGCGGGCACTAGCTCGTTGCCATATGTCTTAATTTAGTTACACTGTGCTTTCCAAAATATATTCATAGACAATGGTAAGTTGACAACCCATGAATATATTAGAATAGTGTAGGGGTGTGAGGTCCGTCAGAGGCTGTGGCAACCTAACCTAACCTAACCTAACCTTAAATTCCTAACTTCCTTAACTTCATGGGTGCCTCTATTTTTTATAGACGAAAATATTGGTATAGATTTTATGTATATGATCAACCCTTTAAAAACAGTTTGTCTGGATTTTGCAAATGATCAGTTCCACATTATCTTTCAACACTAACATTGTTTCACTGATTATAAGTAGATAAATCCATTGGGATGTTGGCCAAAAATATCCAGGACAAAAAATACCAAAATTTCTAGGTTCAAGTCAATAACTATATACACCAGCCACTGTACTGTTGTATACACCTACAATATTAAGGTATTATTTTACTTTAGGATGTGGTGCACTCGAAAGTTATAAACTACTGAAACATTTATCTCTTTATTCTGAGCATTTTCAACGCCATATGTACCAGGCAGAAGTGGATAATAGTGATACAATTGCATTTAATTGATTTTACGTAGTTTTCAGTCCGTCTGTAAGGAGATGTTATCGGTGCATCACGCATGTGCAATATTGACGGACGTCATCCAGTCGTGACCAATGATGTAGAGCACGTGATCCAGAGGGTTTAATACATGTAGTCTTAGTACATGAAAAAATTCCTTACTGTTGAAATGATTGTAAGTTACATCTTGGCCACAGTGACCAAGTACACCATGATGACTCTGCTACACCGCACCTCCAGGGAATGTAAACAAACCACCATTGAATTATGCCATATTTTAGCAGCAATGAACCACTGAGCAGTGACAAAGAAACAGAAAACTAGGTTTGAGTTTGAGGATGACACCCTGCTGTTTTACACAGCATTTTGAAATGGTGAAACTGTGTGAGATGGGTTAGGAAATATAATCCTGATACTGTTCAGTACGAGCTTTGATAAAAATAATTCATACTTCACTTTTATTCAAAATATAAGTCAAACATCATTCTTCTTTTCAGAATGACTTCTCTGCTACAGCCCGCCTGGCTTGGGCCGTGGCGAACAGAAGGATGGAATCTCCTCTTGTCAATGACTACAAGAAACCTTTCATTATTCGTAGACTCTTTGAGACCTTTCTTGGTGGTCTGAGACTGTTTGCCTCGGAAGATACTCCTGCCTATGTATATATCCTTCAGGTAAGATCTCTGCCTTTGGAACAACTCTTGTTCATGCCAGCATGAATTTTCTCCCTTTAAAACAGAGTGATATAAAATACTCCCTATCTTTTTACCTTTTTACTTTTACTCCACTGATTGGCTCGTTAGCTGCTTGGGCGGTCGGGCACGTCTCTGTTACACACTGTTGGCAAGTACTGGACATGTACTGGTTCCTTAATGTATCTGAACCTGCTCCAGTGTTGGTCAAGTCTGGTCTTGAAAGAGCTCACACTCGGTTCCGTCACAACACTCTGGCAGGTTGTTTGAAAATTATCTGTGCAAGTGTTGTTTGCCGGTCAAAATTATTGGTTTTTAAAATTCATATCAACATCTTTGTCACTTCCAGATGAAAGAGTCTTTTTCAAAATTTCCCTCACACTTAAAATAGTCCTTACTCATGCTGAAAACACCCCTACCTAAACCTTTTATATTTCAACTCTTCCTTTTGTTGCTTCATATCTAGCTCATACATTGTTCAGTCTCATATTTGTATCTCCTCAGGTCCTTCAGTCCAAAAGGGGATACAGTATATGTATTCTGTAAAACAATGATGATGATGAATGGGTGTCATCCTTTAACAACTTGTTCAGAGGTTGGCTCGAGGAATTTATACGCCTAGAAATGGTGGACATCTTTAGAGAAATGTAAAAAATTCAAAAGTCCAGGAAAATTGACTAACAGCAAATTTCAAATGTCATTTAACTAAGGATATGCAATTCTTGATTCTTAGTTTAATTAGAACAATACAGTAGTTTGATTTATCATATTGTTTTACAAAGTACACAGCTTAACTATATCCAGACTATGAAACATTTGAAAAAGCTGTTATATTAAATCAGAAATTTGTCATTGAATATTTCATATAGTATTCACACTAGAAAATTCTCTCTCTTTCTTTTTTTCAGATAATTCTCTTTTCTGTGATCCCATTAGTGACAGTGTTATTTGTGCTGTTAGAACACAATGACATGATCACTTTGTTTATAGCAGTGATCATCAATGCTGTGGTGGCTGGATTGTATTCTCTTGCCATACAGACTCTTGCTCTCGTTCTCCGTACTCAGAAATCGAAGAAAGGACAAATTGAACAGGTAAGTTTTTGTCTTGATTATCTTTAAATATTAGTTAACGAGTTCTAGGTTAATTATTTGTGTACGGAGTCCTCTCTGTGTTGAATAAAATCGTCTGCTGTTTGCCAAATAGAATACTGTACAGGCAGTCCCCAGGTTACAAACGTCCGACTTACGAACGAGATTAAACTCTAAATTTACAGTATTTTATTTATCTGATGACTTATTTTTTATTTTCATTAACTGTATTTTGTCATTCTATTTCTTCATTTCTCTTAAATTAAGTGATTTTAGGTGTATATAAGGACTTAGGCTATGATATAGTAGGATTTTAAACACTGTTCTGTCAGTATGGTATGCACATATCTTGTGTTTCGACTTAAGAACGTCCCCAGGCATGAAACTCGCTCGTAACCTTGGGACTGCCTGTATTAAAAGTGGCGTCCCCGTAGCGAAGGGGTTAATGCAGTTATTGAGAGTTGCATCAGTAATGCCCTGTTGTTCTGGAATTTTCACGGGCAACTAAATACCTACTTTACTATAATTTTGCCTCGTGTACAAATCTAAATAATGATAGGTTTTCATGTGTTTTAATAATGATCAAAACTACTAGAAATTTAGTAAGGAATATGAGAGATAAGTTACTGAAATTATTATGTTAACAACTGGAAATCTTATTTTATTTTTTGAGTCTGTAGCTGTCAGTCCTACATTTGGTGTTTCATATAAGACACCAGAATAATGACAGTGCCTTACAGTAGTACAGTATGTATGGTGTAAATTAAAACGTTGTTATGAAAAAGTAATTTAGACACATCCTATGAAGCTTTTAACATAATCCAGTCTGATGGACAACAATCGACTCAATTTGCCAATCTTATCTACATCCTTAAGTGTACAACATAAAGGCAATAAGGCAGCTTAAGCTTAGTGCTTGTGTTGGAAGTGGGAGTGATGAAATGACTTAGAGGGTCAGGTAGGATTCTGATTTTAATGTTTTCATTACAGTGTATACACTACCCATCTGTCAAATGACTTTTAATATGGACCCTTGGAAGACACATAGTGAACATTAAAAATCAGTTTTCAGAATTTTTCATGATAATACAATGATTTTCCTCTGTATAATACAGTATTGTATCTTTTTTTTTAACACAGGGGGACTTGTATTCTTACCACCTGTCTACCTGTTCCAAGTCACATATAAACGAATAGGGATTAACATGGTCTTATACAATACATTATTAATTTAATACTGTATGGTAATTTTTATTCAGGTGAACTTAGCATCAGATGAAGATGTGGTTGAGTTTGACTCTCCTCTGGGGCCAAAGACGTGGACCTTCCTAATTAGGGAAAAAAAATTGAAGGGAGGCATCTTCATCTACTCCCTGCTGGTTGGTCTCGTTGGAGCTGGTGTTGTTCATTACGTCCGTCCTGCCTCCACGTATCACTTTAATGTGGTGAGTACAATACAAGAGGTTCTCCCTGGTTTTACATCCCTTGGTCAGCTGTGTTTTGATTTATGTTGAAATAACGCACTAATTTTTCAGCAAAGAAGCCATACTCTAGACCAGGCAGCTCAACCAGCAATTTTTATTCAGTCCCCTTCTTAAATTATACGAATACAAAATTTGTTTTTCAGCCACTGGTATACAAAGTTTATTCAATAATATGTACTGCATCACCCTGCCTTATTGTTTTAAGATCAATATAGATTAATGTTATGATAAACCAGGACTCATTAACTGTAAATGGATGAGCCGGCAGTGTAACAGAACGTGAGTTACACAGGTCTTGGACAGGTCTCTGAGCTCTTGTCGCTTGCAAGAAATATTGGCAATGTTGTCATTTTAGCTATTTTCCAGCCAATTCTTTATAATTGTGCCTCACTTATTTTAGGCCCTTATGTACAGCCAAGCTAAATACAGTATAAAATTCAACCCCTTTGCAGAAGAGGCTGAGCACCCCAGCTTTAGACCAATTAAGTAATACCATATAGTAAAGTATTGGTAACACGTTAATAGAGATTACTGTATATGCCTTTCTTCTGTCTTCCTTTACTTGTATCTGCATTGCTGAGATCCAGTTGATAGTTTTCTCAATCATTAATTAGGAAACTTACAGGAGAATGGTGCTGTCCAGTATACTTTGAGAGGAATTACCGGTATGCAAAATATAAAGTCAAAGTAAATTCAGTAGGAGAATGTTTGCGGGGACGCAAAACAGAGGTGCTCAAAAATTTAATAGAATCGCTATAAGGGGAAAATGATCTGTTGAATTTTTTCTAATATTCATTAATCTTATACATACAGTACTAGAAACAGTAAGTTCATTATGAATATTACAAGTGTACTGTACTACAGAAAGAAGCTACATAAAAATGTGTTATATGGCTTCAGAATAGGCACAGTATATGAAAACATATAAGAATATGTCACAATGGTCACTCATTACATTTTCAGCCATGGGAAGCCTCACTGTGTTTTACCATTCTGGGCCTCTTAACTGTGAGTGTTGGTGTCTGGCCACTGATTGGAGGCAGCCCCCCAGAGCCTGCCACCTTTCATCCTCTCTCCTGGGATCTGCCTGGCCTCTCACGTCCTGCTCATATGCTTACTTGTGTCCTTATACATCTTATTTCAAGGTGAGGTGATAGTGCAGAGTGACTTAAGTGTGAGTGTGTGAGAGAGATGTTACGATGGCAGATTGTGAAGATCTACTTTAAGAATGAATTTCTATTTATTATAATACAATTACAAAAACATCATTGGTGATCTACTTCTTTACCTGATAATCTACTTCTGCCCATAGGATGTATCCAGAGATGCACTGGCTGCTGCTGTTGGATGGCCTGTGTCATGTGCTGTTTGCCCTGTGTTCACTCCTCTGGCTTCTTGGGATATTGCCACCTATTGATGCTTATATTTTATGGATCCTGGAGCAGTGGTTAGTTGTTGCTCTTGGTGAGTGTTGCATATACTGTGAATATAATTGACACATACAGTAAATGTGTTACTTAAGTGATTAATAATATGTTGAAAAATTCTTCTTTATGGTTTCATATCCATGTATACCCATCTGTCAGTTGTTCTGTCCATTTGTTTCTCTCTATCCATTCGTCTATCAGCACTTATTGACTTTATTTGTATTCAGTCCATAGTTTCCTGTATAGGAGCGTTGGTAAAAATTTTTGTTTTATCATTGACTTCTCTTCACATTTACATCAGACAAATGAACTCTTCTTGCATGTGTTAATACTGTTAATACCATGTGGTACTTCAGGTTTCTCAATCTTAGATCAGTTTGTTTCATTCTACATGCACACTTAACACCCTTAGGTTAGTGTGGGGAAAACTCATTGATTCAGTCATCTGTCTTTTTATTGTTTCTTTCATATAAATGTAAACAACCTGTACACTTTAATGTTGTACTATACTGTACTCCACACTGATAATGCTACTTACACCATAATATTTCAGACCCTCAGGTATCTTAGAAAATTATCTATGCAAGGGAGGTTTGGTTCCAAGGTTTTGAGATAGGTGACACTCTGGTGTGTACAGTATACACTTTTGTAATGAATTTACCCAGGAAACATTTTAATTGAGTCAGAAATTCCTGTGTGATGTTCAGCAAATATTGAGTTGTATGTGAATACTGTACCCTCAGTTTATATTTATGAATGTAGATGACAGAAGTTATGTGTTTGAATAATATACAGTGTTATAGTGATGATATTACTTGTAAAGCTTGACACACTTGACTTACACCAAGTAGATGAGAACGAAGTTATAAGATGGATGGTACCACAACATTAATTTCTATCAGATTAGTCATTAAGGTTTTCAGTTAAGAGAGTAATAAGCTAAGTGACTGAGTACATTAACAACTTTGCAAGTACCAAATTATCTTTTACCACAACAGTAATTTTATTAAACTCGTTTCAGGTGGATCTCCAATGTCCTCTTCTCTGAGACTTGTGGGCCAAGTGTTCTGGGGAACATTGACGCTCTTCATGTCAGCTGCTCTACCACACTTTGTTGTCTTAATGGTGTTTGCAGCTGCCCGAGGCTTTGTTCTAAGTGTTGATATAGGTGTGTAGACTGGAGTTGACTTGTTGTAGCAGAAATACATATACATAGATATATTGGTAACTTTCATATCAGGTGTCAGTATTATGGTAAACTCTCATACATATGTTAGCCGTGGCCACACTTCACAATAATACAACAGACATATGCAGGAATTTATTTGAGTTGGCTTCTCTTCTTAATTGCTATTTCCACGCCAAAAAATCATGTAGTGGGGCATTATGTTGAAAAAGTTTTGTCTGTAAAATCAAAGTCTTTGGTGAATATGATCATAATTCCTGTATAATACTGCATGATGGTCTTTCATGTAAATAGTTGTTTAATTTTTGTCATACAGTGCTGTGTCATTGTCTTGTATCAGCCGGCTGGATAATGAGTGATGGTGTATGGGTAGAATGTTCAAAGTCAAGATAATGTATTATTTTCCTGATACAATTGAATAGAAATTAAAGAAACTGCTAAATATGTATAGTATGTGGACTTAATATAAGGCAGTCATCATGTTGTACTCCATATTATGTGATATAAGTCTTTATTTGTGTGGTTCTCAGTTGTAAGATTTAGTAAGATGTCACTTCCTAGATCTTAATCACTACTGATTTCCATAAATATTATTTCTCCTAGAATATTTCTATGCTCTAGTCTTTTTCTTTAGACTATTGATTGTCCTGTAGTTAATCAAGGCTACTATAATAAATTTGCCTCTTTTTAATTAATTTGGAGATTCTAACATTGATGGTGATAGTTTGGTTATTGAGTGGGAAACAATTGTCACACAGATGAATAAGATTACCTTAAATTATCCTCTCACTTGCATTTAAATTAATAGTTTATATCTTACATAGGTTCATAGGTTTTAGGTGGTCAGTCTAATTTCTGGCACAACTCTCATTGTCTTTCAAATGTTAACCAAAACATTACATTACAGCTTGGATGATCTCCTCACTGCTGTCCCCCACAGTCAAATTACTAACTGGGTTATCTGGCAAGTATGAAGAAACTCACCCTGTGTCTGGTAAACGTTCCCTGCGTCGCACCACTTGTCGTCGGGAACTTGCCTTGTTTGTTCCCATGCTGATTTCTGTAGCGGGCATGAGCTTGGGTTCACAGTTGCCTCACTATAACTGGTATAATGAAGTAATTAACAAGACAAGAGAGAGTAATGTATCCCAGTCAGAATTGCCTCTTAAACCAGCACTGTTTCAGGTACGTTTCACTGATGTGTTCTTCGCAATTTTGTTAAGCCTGATGTGTCTATTAATTCTCTTATTCTTTGTGATTGATAAACAGATAGATATTTATTCAGTAAAATCATCATACAAGTTTACATTGATTCAGCATGTATATGTATACTGTACTTTATTATACAAATATTCTTTCATTATACATGTATTGATTTGGTTTTGTGTGAACTCTTAACCCTTTCACCGCGTCGGCCAATTTCGGTGGTATTCCCAAATAAGCGCCAAGTCACTAAAAAATTAAAATGCTTACATTAATGTTTATTTATTTATTTATTTTTCTGAAAAAAGGCGCAAGGAATCCATATTTAACAATTAAAAAGTCATAAAGTAATAATATCTAGGGTAAATTTACTATTTTGTGCAGAAAACACTTTTTTTTTCTGTGTTCATAATAATGGGCAATATCATAAGTAGATATGTCAGATAGTGTACTGTAGACTACAATGATAAATAGTTTATTTTCTATTGAAGTCATTTTATTTTATATTATTGTCCATTATTCATATACTGTATACTGTATATTGAAACCCTATACTGTATCTTAGGGGCAAATGCGAAAATCACTTGTGCTCAGACGAGAATGTTGGTGGGTAAATGAAATAAAAGATCGGAATAGACGAGTTATTCTATTACACTTGTTATTTGTTGGACTGGAACACAATATAAATTAAGATTACAAAGATTGTAAGACAAGAAAGTAGACCACCTTTGGGAATATATACAGTATAGGTAAAGATTAAATTCATATATATCCATAAAAACGTGATTTTCTTTTCACATTTTACACGCCTTACTCACTCACGTATTCCAGATAATTTTGAAAGACAAAGAAAAACATGAAGTATCGGAAAACCTGTCTCAATATGCCATGTTTGGCTCTCTGGTTTTCTGTGTCGCTCTATTTCCTCTTATATTATGTTTCCTTTCTCCTCTATTTAATATGCACTAATGCTTTCTAATACATATTTCATATAGCACACTCTTAAACTTTTAAAATATCCCTAAAAAAAAATTAAAAACACGAATAAACAATGTCACATAATTTTCCATCATGGCAAAAGCAAGAAATAATTTCACTTCCCAAATTACCTCGTTCATTTCCCTTCTAATTTAATGATTATCACATTCCAAGTGCTAGTATTGAATCTGTAGAATAAATACTAACTTTATATACTGTATATATAATATAAAAAGTTATTAGTCATAAAAATGGGGAACTGGGCAAAACACAGAGAAGCAATGTTGACTCCTAGTGTTTTAATGGCGGGAGCTTCAGCTTGCCCCAGTCACCGCTATGTGGCAGCATCTACTTGGACGGCGCATAATTCAAACCTTGAAGAACTGTAGTCGAGTTACGTGTTAACAGAAAGTTTTTTTACGAGTGTGGACTAAAGTCGATTTACGCGGTGAAGGACAAAAATCAAAATGTGAAAAAAGTCGAGCCACGTGGTGAAAGGGTTAAGGAACTCTCTCCACATTTCTATAAGATAAAGAATTAATGCTTCAGTGCTTGAGGGAATTACTGAGTTGATGTGAGTAGTAGAGACTTGAATTAATTGAGAAGTTTATACAGTAGAGCAAATGATGGAGTAAATATAAATGAATTGATGCTCTGAGTTTCATTGAAAGAGTTATGGAATTACAGCGTAGTTTAAATAAAGAATTAATGAAAGTCAGTTTGTGTGTGTGTGAGAGAGGGGTTACAGTGCCTTCTTCTCATACACCCACAGTTTTTCTCCTTACATTAAGGAATTTGCTACTGATGTTGTCTTGACTGATGATTATCTCACTCACCCTAAAAAAACTGACTTTGAATCAGTGAGATCTAGTTGCAGTTATTATCATCATTGTCATCATCATCATCATAACCATTGTCACCATCATCATCATCATCATTTATACTCAACTAACTTTTTATTTCTGGCTCTAGGTACCAGCCCAGAACACTGTGGGAGGTGGCCTCCTTGTCATCACTACAACAATGCTTCTTATCAATGAAATCCAGAAAGTTTATTTCCTGGGCATCATCCGGAATCCTCTGTTCAAATACCACAAAGCCTTACAACACAGCAATATTTTGTATATTTACTCCCAGCTGCTTCATATAGGTGTGTCTTATAGTGCTGTAGTAAATCCTTTAGCTTTTGAGTATGCAGAGTTTGTGAGAAGCAATTGATGGTGAATTGTACAAGAATATGCAAATAGTAGTTCAAATTCATGTTTCATTAACTTACTTCATAGTCAGGAGGACCTTGAAGCCCTCTAGTACTCTCTGTTACACTTGAAACTTCTATTAATACCCTCATTACTCCATTGAAGTCTTTTAGTTATGTGAGTGAATATGTTTGGTACAGTCATTATTGGGTCAATTGTAGCTCAACTAAATGTTTAGGGAGAAGAGTTGTGTGAAATTTAAAAAGAGAAGGTGGTTAGTCTTTGATTACTTCAGGGAGGCACAACCCCTTGCTTCTCAGCTGTATACCATAACATTGCTTCAACATCCCTGATGACAACCGAGTCAACAGAGGTGTATCCATCCCCTGATCTCTATTGCATTTTTGGGGTTGGTGCCCTGAATTTATGGTGGTGAGCAGGAGGGGCACATACCGTTTTTGGCTTTACCCAACAGTTGCCATCAGGTAATCACAGCTAACCCAAGCAAGAATGGAAAATTGTAGCAAAACATTGATGATAATGATATTAAAGAGTGTGAATGGATATTTTCCAGGGGGAGAAAGAATTCGTTTTGGCGTTGATGGGTCTAGAAACAACTAATGATGGAGTCAGTAGTAAAGTAGTGTGCAACGTATTAAAAGAGTTTTGGATCACCTGAAGAATGGATGTCCCAGATTATTTCTCCTGATGTGTTAGAACACTAATGTTAGCTGGGGGTTATGTTAGGTGGGGTTAGGTTAGGGTAGGTACTGTACTTAGGTTAGAGTTATTGTGTTTAATCATCAGGTTAAACAAGCTGGGGTATCTAATCTTTAGGCGAGCCATAATCCTCATTGTTTCATTCTTATGATTTTCTTTTTTCTATCTATGACCAGGTTGTCCACTGGTGTCACTGATACTCATTCATCAAGTGGTGTCTGCTGAGGTTCACCTGCAGATGGGAGCACCTCGTTATAGCTTTACGCATTTTATACTTACCCTTCCCCTCGTCAGAATTTTTAGACAGGTAAGAATTTTTTTTCTCCAAAATGTCTTTCACTCCTTACCTTTTTTCTTTTTTTTTTATCTATATTCATATGTTATTAAATAGTCATAGATTTTGTGTTTCTCTCATTTCTTATAAAAACTTGGCCATGTAAGAGTAGCTCCTTTGCTCCATATTACTATCCTAATTCTAGCTTCAGTTGTACCCTACAGCCCTGTCATGGATACCCCTCGCTTCACACAACATCCCCAGCCTGTGTACTGTATTGTTGTGACTTATACCTCTCACTTCATGGACCATTCTCTTCCTCCTACCCACCACCAGACCCTCATTGTAATATCTGATCCTTATCATATCATCCTCATCACTTATCACCATTAATACAGTTCATTATCTTTGTGATTTCTGACTCCTGTAACATAATCCTATTCAAAAAGCACAGTATTTTATGTGATTTTAGCTCCTCTTTACATACATCATTGTATGTTGAAGAAGAGAAGTCATGTAGAATAAAGTTAAAAAATTTCATTCTCTGTCATCAGATTTTTTTACACATTATAAGCTATTAAACTTCTTCACATGCTATGATTTTTATTTTTATTGTTATTATTTTTTTTTTTACTTCTGGCAGTTTTGTATAATAAAAAAATGTTTTATTATACAGATATCTGGGTTTTTTTCTTGTGACAGATATGGCAGTTTCCTCAAGCATCATTCCTTCAGCTTTCTCTGTACTACATAATTGAGTTGATCCGACGGCAATCAGACATATCTATGGGAACATGGGATACTCTGCCCCCTGCCACACGAATATTCATCTTGAGTATTGGTCACCTGTGGGGCACCAGGATGATAAACAGACTCACTACTGTCATCCTCTTTATGATTACACCTTTTACAGAGAAGAAACAACAGCATTCCATCAGCTTCTTACTTTTAGGTTGGTGTCATATTAAAGTGTCATCATATCTTAAAAATACAGCTCCCTTGAAAAGTACAAGTATGTGTATGTGTAGATACTGTATACTGTATTAGACAGCTTGTATTAAAAGCAGTTGACCAAGAGACTGTTTTCTAGTAACTTGTACAGAATTTAGTAATCACATATTTAAAGATTTAGTGAAGATACTGAATGTGGAATCTGTGTGTGAAAGAAGGTGAAGAAATATAAATAGATAAAACAAATATAAGTTGATCAGCCATCAGAATAATAGAGTAAAATTCTTACATGCATCAGTTAATAATTTACCCTGGAAGTGTAAAGTTACATATAATACAAAGTGAACCTTAAGACCATAGACCTCACAACTTTGGTTATAGATGTTTCAGGAAATTGTGTGGCATTGAGGTGATGTTGTTTGTGTTTTTATCTCAAGGCTGCACATTACTCATAATTATTTTTACAGGGTTCAACATCGGCATATCACCTCTCCTCCTTGGTCTTGTTATCCTGTCAGCTGTTATATCTGCCCCTCTCCTACCAGTCTTCACTCTTCCCATCTTCCTTCTGGGGTTCCCACGACCCCTTAGGTTCTGGTCGTACCCTGTTGGCCGATCATCGAACTCTTGTGATGACTCGGTGTACTACGAGCAGCTCACTCCCCATGTTGTGTTTGCTCTGCATAATTTGTTGCAGTGTGGATCATTAGGTATGTGAATTTATCATCTTTTTATTTGAGGATATAATAATTGCATTCCAGACCATTTCATAATTTGTTCATGGACATTCATCAAGCTACAGTATTCATTTATATATACTGTACTGTATAGTGTACACAAAAATTTACTTTGTGTATTGGATAATTTTTTAATATATTTTCAGGGATAACGGAACCTGGAGAACATTTTCTCCTGCGTTGGGAAGACAGATTCATTTGGGTTCAGGTCAGTATCTTCATTTATTGTTTTTGAGAGTTTAGGTGTACAGTATTTTGTGTCCTGGTACTGTAGTGAATGAATGAATATAAAAATTGAAAGTTTTAAGCCTGAAAATATGCATTAATTTGTCATTACTGTATATTATTTTATCCCTAACCTTCTCGGCATTGTACTTGTAGATTTTGGAGTGTGGCTTCACCTACCAGTACTACAATGTGAAGGGTCTTGAGCTGCAGGAAACAAGTTGCCACACAGCTGAAGCTTCAAGAGTAGATGCTAACTTCAGCAGAGCTTTTGATGGTGATGATGTGGTCAACAAGGGGATTATATCATCACTGTTTAACCCTCATGCATTTCACACTCTTACTCCTCTCTCAAACTTTTCTGTTATGGGATATTCAGACACAAGGAACGTCCTAACAGGTGTTATAGACTCGCCAGATACACTCATTCTGGTCAAGGAATATTTCCATAAAGCTCTTTTGTATGTAGTAATGAATTACATTGTAAATAGATCTGACAAAGTTGCTGATGCAGATACCGCTGAAGAATCAAAGAGACCAACCAAAAGTGCCTTAAAAAATGGATCTCAAGAACACTTAAGAAAATTACCAAAAGTAACCAGAAGAACAGAATATCACTTTGAGGAAGGATTTCCTGACACCACAGTTGAGTTAGACAATAATGGAAAGGAACGGCAACCCCCATTTGGTAGACGGATCTCTATTTCTCAACAGTCTCAGAGCCAGAGCGGGCGAGGAAGTCGAATAGCTTGGGTTGATGACCCATTAGCACCTGAACTCATTCCAATTGTACCTACTGGAGATTCATCTCCACCTTCACCAAAATGGGATAATGAAGGTGATCCTTTTGATATTAGTGAGGAAGAAACAACAAACATCAGGAAAAGGAATGAGAAAACTCTTCCTCCATTACAGTCAAGAGCTATGGGTTCTCCCTCCTCTTCAGAAGACTTCAGGGGAAATAATAGACAAGTTAACTTCATCCCAGGCCTCATGTATGACTCCTCTTCTGAAGAAGATGAAAAGACTAACATAAAGATTAAGGCAATTCATCACAGAACTTCTGCCAAAGTCAATCTAAGAATGATAGCACAGCCTGAAGTTAGATCACCAATTTACGAGAGTCCCATAAGTACTGCATTGGCTCCCTTACCCAATTGGATAGTAGAACTACCCTTTGATGAAGAAGTGATAGATGAAGTTCAGGATACTTTTCCACATGCTTGGTTTAAATTTTTGCTCAATACTTTTGGACATTCATATGTAGATATGCTAGATCAAAGCTCTACCCCAAGTAGCAAAACCTCCAGCAGCAGCAGTAGTAGTTCAAAGTCTTCTGAACAATCCAGTGGTAGAGTTGGAGGAGAAAAAGAAACCTACATCCAGAGAATGCAGTATGATGAGACCTTGGAGGAGTCTTACAGGTGAGATACAATACTTATGTCAGGTCTCTGTGGTTTACAATAATAATTTATCTTTTGCATTGTTAAATTTTTAATTTTTCTTTTGAACATCTCACAAGTTTATTTAAAGATAGATAAATATGATTGATTTAATTATGTTTAAATGAAAATATCAGGAGTATGTCATCAGAAAGAAATATACAAAGATACTATAGATGTAGCCACATATTTAAATGGAAGATATAATTAACTTTGACAGTATAGTACAGTACAGTACAGTACATGTACTAATATGAAATCAGTAGGTATAGATTTTGAGCTAAAGTATAGATAGAAGTAATAGTAGTAGTAACAGCATTACTAACACTAAAAATAGTAATACTTTGTCAGTGTTTCAGGAGCCTCACTGTCCATTATCAGAGAGTGTGTTTGTGTGTCCATATTCATTACTGTATTTTTCTGTTATCAAAGGTTTTCTGACTGTCATCATAAGTTTCTAAAGTCAAATTTTCAAACAATTTTCGAATGAATTTCATGAAACTTCATACAAATAGTGATCATGGAATGCCCTAGAATACAAAGGTTGTGGCAAGGTACTTGAGGCAACTGCTGATAGTTTCCATTTCCCAGCCACATTCCCTCATGTCAGCCATGTCCAAATATAACAACTGGATACAATATGACTGATAAGACTCACTACCTGTGCAGTAGGGAGTGACAGTTTGGCAAAAGTTTTCAAAATCTAATTGCTTGGGTTGGATTATTTGTCTATCGGCCACGCTAATTCCGAATATGTTTGAGTTTTTTACATCATTGCATTAGAAGGTTTGTGGATACTTTTGGGTTTGGCATGAAAAACGCGAAAAAACTGTAAATAATAAAGGGACTGGCAATGTGGCACAACCTGTTAAAATCAAGTTATTGAATTGGATTATTCGACTACTGTGTACACTGGTTCATAATATGCTATTGTTTTACAACTCAATGCGCTACAAATTATGCCGATATTTTTGCTGCAAGTCACCACATACATATATTTCGAAAACCAGGGCCCAATATTACCAACGGCGTGGATAGATTCCGTGGAATGAATTCAGGACATTCCCGCTCATGGAACATTACCAAACTCCGTATATGTGCCAATGGCAGGCCAATGGCAATATTTACAGAGTTTGTTGAGGCTCCCTGGACGGGAATGCCGTGAATTTATTCCACGGAATCTATTCACGCCGTTGGTAATATTCGTCCCAGGACTGATCAACGAATTCAGCCCAATTCACTTTTCTTTTTTCTGTTCTCGTGACCTCTTCCTGACTCTCTCCACTTTCTTCCAGTTAGTCACTTTAGACTTGTCCCCTTCAGTTATGATGTTGTCTGCAGCTCTGATGGTGTTTGCGATGTGAGCCACTGCATCATTGGATACCTTGAACCTGTCAGCAGTTTCTCCGATCCTGTCCTCGGCTTCTTTCTCCCTTTTCCTTTTCTCTGATCTTGCTCTCCTGTCGACCATAGCCTTGAACTCATTGTCATTGACATCCTTATAATCACTATCTTCTTCCTGAGCACTGTCATCCACTGCCGACACTTTACACGACATCCTCTCCATCTCCTCCTTACTCTTTGACCTCATCTTCTCAGTTTTCCTCTCTTCCTCAGCCCTTTTCTTTGCCCTCTTCGCTTCCTTCTCCCTCTCTTCTTTCAGCTTGGCAGTCACAATTTTGTCAACGCCATCAATGCAGCCCTCCCTTCCCGGTTTCCTCTGGGCTGCCAGGAAGCTTTTCTCTCGTTCGTGCACTTTGCTGTCGTCTGCCACATCAAACAACTTCTCAGCTATATCCTCGAACCTCATCTTCAGCTTCCCGTTCTTCGTTTTCTTCCTTTTCTGTTTCTGTCCATTTCCCTTCATCATCATCGTCTCCCTCCGCATCCTCCACAGGTCGTGGACTCTCATTTTCACCCTGATTTCAGAGATAGTGGGGACAGTGGCCTTCCTATACACATCCAGTACCTTCTCAGTCACCTTGTTGGTGGCATCCATATAATCAAAAGCATTTGTTCTTCTCCTTAACCTCTCGTTTTCTGCTTCATAAGCCAGGGCACTTCCAACTTCCTTGTTCAGAGGCAACTTGTTAGATGGCAGAGGCATCCGAACCCCGAACACCTTATCGTTACCCTGGCGCAGCTGAGTGTTGCTAATCTTAGGACGACCCATCTTGGTGGCGGCCCTTTGAACTAACTGCAAAACAACACAGAAAAAACAACTTTCAGCACTTCAATATCACCACCTATTGAACAATATTTTATTCAAAAGTACGGACTGAGATTTTGTCCTTAACTGTCCAAGTCAAGCTACTTGGGCTGAATTCGTTGATCAGTCCTGGGACGAATATTACCAACGGCGTGAATAGATTCCGTGGAATAAATTCAGGGCATTCCCGTCCAGGGAGCCTCAACAAACTCTGTAAATATTGCCATTGGCCTGCCATTGGCACATATACGGAGTTTGGTAATGTTCCATGAGCGGGAATGTCCTGAATTCATTCCACGGAATCTATCCACGCCGTTGGTAATATTGGGCCCTGGTTTTCGAAATATACGTATGTGGTGACTTGCAGCAAAAATATCGGCATAATTTGTAGCGCATTGAGTTGTAAAACAATAGCATATTATGAACCAGTGTACACAGTAGTCGAATAATCCAATTCAATAACTTGATTTTAACAGGTTGTGCCACATTGCCAGTCCCTTTATTATTTACAGTTTTTTCGCGTTTTTCATGCCAAACCCAAAAGTATCCACAAACCTTCTAATGCAATGATGTAAAAAACTCAAACATATTCGGAATTAGCGTGGCCGATAGACAAATAATCCAACCCAAGCAATTAGATTTTGAAAACTTTTGCCAAACTGTCACTCCCTACTCTACTGTGCAGCATTGGGTGATCACAATAACCTGACCATAGTGTACAGTATAGGGATTATGCTGCATGGTACAAAACAGTCTCATTTTCTAAGGCTTGTTAAAATGATAATACATTCTGTGGGAACATATTTACCATGCAGGTGTTTAGTTGGTTGATGTCCGTATACCTAGAGATTCAGATTATTTTGGTAGATCTGTGTCCCATTGTTTTCTAATAAGTCACAATATGTCATTATCACAGGACTACTGTTTTCTTCTTCACAGGCTCCTGATTGGGACCTGCCACTTGATTGTCCTTGGAACTGACATTCATGCTCCCTCACCTTCACAAGTCTACAAGACCTTTATTGGAGAGCTTTCTTGGTCAATGGCTCTTGAATGGCTCATCAACAAGCAAATCTTATATGAATTAGTACTTCATGCTTATAGGTGAGGGAACTTCATAGTTATTATTAGTATCAGTTATTATTTCCTCTTTACTCACTTTTGTGTACACTCGTTCTAAAAGATATCTTTATGAAGAGGTCCAATGATTTCAAAATGAACATCGCTGCTCCTGTTGTCTCCGGAAGGTCAAAATTGTCTCACACAAAATTGTAAAGATACTTTTTGAAGCGAGTGTACACTGTCAATTGAATCTGTTATTATAAGAATATAAGAATTGTTTAAATGTTGCTCAGTGTGAAGTAACAAGTATGAAAAACTTTTCAGTGACATTGTTCTCATAGCACCCCCTCGCCCAACTTCAAACACCTGTAGGTGCAAAGTAGATGGGCCTCAGGTATTCTCCCAGAGATCTTTGATGGGAGTTATATTGAAGAATTGTATCTGTTGGATGAATGATACTGTATGTTGTTTTAGATTATTCAACAATGTGTATTATTTCAGAGTTGGTGTAAAACTCGCACTTGACCATATCCTAATTGGGGGGATGACTGGATGGGCGGAGCTACTCACAATTATGGAGGATTACACACACAACTGGTACCTGGGACCTGACAGCAGAGTTGAGGTTCACACTCACCCTGCTTCACGTCTGTCTTCTGATTCCCCAAAGGGTAAAGCTGTGCATTTTCTGGAAACTAGGTGGCCAAAATCATGGATGGAAGCAGTGAGGATGGAGACATCAAATCTCTTTTCTTTGGGTTACAATGCTGTTAAGGTAAGCACAGCTAGACTTGTGGTTTATATAATGTAATAAATAACAATAAAGCAGCAAGATACTCAGGTTTTTTTCAGACAATGAGATTACATCTTATTTGTGTTGTTTGTTTATGATTTTGTTTAGTATCCTAGTACTGTACCTTGGAGATTAAACATGTATCAAATATGAACTTACTGGTCTGGCAGGGTATGAGAGAGAGATTACATCAGCATTCTGTGATATATGAGTGTCAGATGGGCAGGTCATAATAGAATGGTTGGAAAGTAGGAAGCATTGAAACTTCTGAAAATTGGAAGTGGAGTTTGGAAGTTAATGAAATACGTAATCAATAAAATATATACCGGTACATGATAGATGAAAATGGTAAAGTTGGAAGTGATGATAAAACAGAGAGATACAGTTTTAAAAATGGGTCTGAGTTCAAAATGGGACATGGGCATAATATAGGAGGTATTGATATTGGAGATATGTATGATGCTTGGGTGATGTAACATGCAAATAAGGATATGTCTGCCAGGCAGTTTTATGATAATTATAATGTGTGATGGAGCTTCATATACAGTATATATATAGAATGATGAATTAGTTAATGCAGTATTTATTCTGCCATATTCAAATATATTCTGTATGAAGGTAATGGCAAGTTTTATTATGTATTCTTAGGGTGTTTACACATCACATCTCTTGACTCTTGGAGAAGCAGAAATAGCTGTGGGGAGACTCGGTAGTGAGACTGTGAGGGGTCTGTGGGCCTCTCTGGTGGCTGAGTTACTCTACCTCACCAACGATGATGATGAACGCTACTCTATACAGGTATGTCTAGAAGGTGCTGATATATATCTCTCCAGACAGCACTAAGAAATACCATACTATATATTGATCTCATTGATGACCACTGGAGATGTAGGCTCAACAAAATGTGCAGTTGAGTGATGTGACCAAGAGAGATTACATTGTATCCAAAAATGTTGGTGATTATATGATTTCACTGATCTTGTTGGTAACCTCTTTGTATTCATGATACCTGCATTATTTTACTGCTGATAAATCATAATGGTTGAATATTGTTGCTGTTGAAGCTTCATCGTTTTCACTGTACGATACATGTGACTTTGATTATGTTAAAGTATAGGGCTGGTGGATTATCATCTAATTAGTGGACAAATTAATGGAATATTTCAAACTTTCATTACTCAAGTATTTGATTGGGTTCTGTACCATAGAGTTGTTGGGAGTATATGTGAGTAATCTAGTCTTAACCATAAAATAAGATTTCCAGGATCAGTCCACCATTTCTGAATAAAAAATATGTCTTTCCAGGCCCAGCCAGGTCTGCTGCGTAATTTAACAATCCAAGCTGCAGATCCTCCTCTGGGGTATCCAATCTTTTCCAGTCCTCCTCTGCGCTTGGCTGTTGCTTGGCTCAATGCCACCTTTGAACAAGTCTATTCTTCTGAGCAAGAAAAAGGGCGACATTGAGATCCATCATACAGTATATTCAAATGTACAGATATTTAAGAAGATGGGTTGGAGATGTACAGTTACAGTATAGAATTATATTAATTGTTGTACAGGTAGAGACACAAGTACCGGTATTTTCCCAGTTTTATCCAATGATTAATTAAACCTGGCAGAATATAACAAGAGCTTAATCATGACTACATCTGGTCAGTTGGTATGCCTGACTAGGTTGAATCTCTTGAGTTGGTCACCAAATGATGGTTCAAAATATTCATGTTCAATTTATACCAGAAGAGGAAAGCTTGCTCATCCACTGAATAAGAAATGCACATCAATGAAGCAGTGAAATAAATTTGTGATTAGATGTCATGTCCATTTATGGTGCATCAAAACATAGATATATTAATGACGACTTACATGTTTGCCTCCTTAGTTATCATGTTACAAGTCTATGATTCATGAACCATTGCCAGTATCTAGTCAGATTCTCGTGTGTATCAAAACCAACCTTTTTATAGGAAGCATAGTTGAGCAAGCCTAACATCTGCATTTCATTTCAACTGTCATCGTGAACACACCTCACCAATTATGGAAAAAGCAACTTGAAGGCACAAAACCACAAGGGAAATGAAAGGAGCTAAGATTTCATTGTAAAGGAGTGGTGTGAGCTCAGTGGAGATAGCAGAGAAATACACAGCAAGCACAAAATCTTTTAACAAGCGCATCAAGCACTAGGTGGAATAAGGCACATCATGAGTAGTAATGGGGAGACTGAATTAACACAATGCCACAAAGAGCCATGTGTAGAATTTACGGGATGGCGTACAGACATGGCCGACAACTTTTGGTAACGGGTCATATTTTGTGATGAGAAGACATTTTCAACCGATAGTTTGGAACCATCGTGCATCTGGCAGAGAGTGAATAAGGTTCTTCAGACTTGCCAACTGTTTAGTAGTTTCAAGGTTGTGTGTGTGCATCAGATGGCTCAACTTTTCCTCGATGTATTCACCAAAACTTTGGAGGATAATTATGTCTTTGTTTACAATTTATTTAATCAACAAATTATGTTTTCAATTTGTGTTTTTTTAGTTTTATAAAGTAAGTTCATGACTGTTTAAATCAAGAAATCATGTACTTTATAATATTTATATTTTTAGCATGCCTATGGGTCGGCTAATCATGTGAGCACGTGAAAGTGATTCTTACCAGGGAACAACAGTTGGAACCATTATTATTAGAAGTCTTCTGATTGAAACTTGTGGGGAGACAATTTTGAGGAAGAGAATATCAATGAGCAGTGCTTCTGGGAATAAGAATTTAAAAGTATTGTAGATGATCTGCATTAAGGGAGGATAACACAAGAACAAGATTTCATCAATCATTTAGTAAAAGAAGAAAAGGTAACAGCCATAATGGACTAGTCAGGTATGTGATATATTAGCTCAGTCACTTAAAGTTTAAGATGATGGTGTAGAGAAAGTACTAATGACTGATAATATGTGGAGATTAATGCTTTATGAAGATGGATGAATTGGAGTAGAATTTGGGGATTTTTCTTTTTTATTAAACAATCAGGTTCTTATGAGGAAATCAAAACTAGACTTACGGGTATTGGTGAAGGAGCTTATAAGCTTAAAGTGAAAATCGTTCTCAAAGCTAGAATTTTCTGGAATGATTTTCCGAGAAAATTTCAATTCCGGCTATCAGAGAGTTCCGGTTAAGAGGGATTCCGGCTAACGGAGATATTACTACTCTGTAATTTTTGCTGTAGTAAGCGCTAAATATACCATTACCATAGACTTACATTGAGGCGAGTACAAATGTCATTGTTTTTATTTGTATATACTGTATTGGTACTGTATGTTACTAAGTAGTTTTGAGTGTTATTTTTTTATGATTCTTTTATATTTTGAAGGGCATTTTATTGACTCATACAGTAATTCTCATAGGTTTTGGAAAATTACACCATACAATCCTTTACAGATGGTGTTAAGACAATTTCTTGTGTAAAATAAAGGGTTTCATCACAACACCATCCAAAGACAACACAATAAAACATAAGGTACAGTAGACACTCATCCAGTACATCATTAATTCGCATATCTAGAACCCCCCCCCCATATTATATAAGAGCCTGGCAAGTATTGATGTAAAAAATATAATGGCAAAAAAAAAAAAATTAAAAAAAAAACTGTTCTAAGGGCCAAAAGCACCACACCCAACCCAAGACAATATGCACACACACACACACACATACACACGGCCAGCAGCCCCATCCCTGCTGCAATCCTCCCAGGGGCAATCCATGTTCCCCCTTCCTTACCGCCTTACTACGAGCTTTTCATAATGTCTTCCAATTACTCATCATCATCAGCCTAGAATAATATAATGCTGAAGAGAAAGAGGGTTAGTCTGACTATCCTCCAGGAGATTAAAAGAAGAGTTAGATACAGTACACGAAAATATGCAATAAATTAAAAGTCTAAGAAGATTTAATATAGAAATAGAGATGTAACAGTAACTGTACAATAGAGATTTTGGAGTTACTTGTCTGAATGTGTCCTGATGCTGAAAACTCTTATTGTCTATATCATTTATTTCGTCACGTCAGGCTGCTCTGTTAGATGCCTTTATACAGAGTCACTAGTAAATATAATTCTGGTAAATTTTATGGTTTAAACACATAATCATCATTGTCACTGTTTTACAACCATTTTCTATAATTAAATAGTAATTTATAACTTGGAACACAATGTGGTGAAATAATTTTTTAGTATGGGGCAATGGACAAATTAAAAATTTTAATTAACACTCACCACTGTGTAGTTGTGTTTCATGGGATCTTTCCAGTGTTTTACATTCAGAAATTACTCATTAAGGCCTTATTCCATCTATTTTTAATTTGGATCTTTGATAATACCTTCTTATCTCCTACAGCTTGATTAATTTTTAAAATTTGATCATAACAAACTGCACAATCCAATGGTGAAAACAGGTTGTCTGAGACACAGCTCCTTTGAATTATGCAAGCCAAATGAGGATCTAACTTGGTAATCCAAGTGGCTCTACATCCTTGATAATTATACATGTAGTATGGTCCCCTTGGGTCCTGGGTGAAACTACTACTACTGAATTCACATCCTCTACTGACGGACATAGCTAGATGTCGCATTCTGGATTGAACAAAAATTTTATTTTTTATAATATGACTTATTCTGGAATACAGTACCTGTACATCAATAGTCTCATAATAGAATAAAACACACCACAGTGATTCCAAATACTGTACAGTACTGTTGACCAATTATTCTAGTCATTTACTGTACTAAATACAGTTCAATATTTTTTAGATGAACAAAGACAATTTGTAACATTAAAAAAGAAAAAAAAATTAAACTGTTGAAACTGTAGAGTACAGGTACCTTAAGATATAGAAATCATTAGATATATAAATGGATAAATAGATATAGAAACACTCATTCACTATTGCTCCATCACCTGCCTCCAGCTTGAGGCTTTAGAGACGGGGGGAGCTGACCAGGTGTAGATGATAGTGGAGTAACCTGTGGGGTGCAGTAACTAGTGAATACAGCACTTGCCTCCTGCTCTAAGGGTCGCTGGCTCGATCCCAGGATACTCCCAGTACACCTAGAGATAATTGACCACTAAACTTGGCAGTTGGAGAAATGAAGGCGGTCAGGTGAAGTGCCAGACACACTGCCTCTTTGTATACTGAAGGCTTGGTAAACATTGTGCTGCATCCTCATTGTCCCTAGTAAGAAGTCGTGTTAATAGGATTCACTTTAATTTTTTTCACAGTACTGTATCCTGTGTGTACACTAACTTCACCCTGATAACTGTATTAATACACAGTTGATACATTAATTTGTTGTTGATCTTTAACCTGTATTTCTGTAGAAGAAATCACATCATTTTTTGCCCAATCTTTATCCATTACCTAGGGGGGGGGGGACCACTAAAGTTATGAGTTGATATTAATAAAAAAATATATAACCACATTGGTACTGCTCATGAACAGGTGATAAATTTTCAAAATATTTGAGAATTACTGCATAATTTTTAATGATAATGTGATATTGAGATTATTGTGATATATTTATTACTCATATATAAATAGATTATTAAATATTTGTGTATTGAATCATCTCGTAAGTAATTTTAGGTAACTGGTACTTGTGCTTTTTATTGTAATGATATTGTTATGTTTAACTTAATAGTTTGTACTAATTTGAGTCTTAAAAGGTCTGGTTATATGTGAATTTTCTCTTTGTTATACCTGTAGTTTGTTTATGTTATAGTGAAATACTATTGTAAATTACTCATACTGTATTTTATTAAGATTAATTTAAACTAAATTACCTTTTGTTACATTACACTTTTGTTAAGCTAACTTAGGTTTGGTCATATTAGATTAGCTTAGATTACTTTTACTTATCTTAGATTTGATTAAAATAAGATAACATAGCTTAAATTTGCACACCTGAGGTGTGGTTATATTTGGCTAGATTAAAATAGATCAGATCCTCACCTTCTCTCACCTAATGCTTTCCTGCCACCATTCTTGATTCACTTTATGTCAGAGAATACAGATACAGCAAGAAATACAAGTGTGAAAACTAACAGCTTAATACTTAGTAAATTGAAATGGTGGATTAATTCTGATGCTGTACAGGCTTAGTATGAAAGAACAGTGATGAGTGAGCTTAAGTGTGGTACAGAATGGATGAAGTGTGGTACAGAATGGATTAAGTGTGGTACGGAATTAATATAATGGAACAGCTTTAGAAAGGAAAGGTTAAGAGATACATAGAATTTAAGAGTGACATAGACATTAATACCGTCCAAGCTTGTGGAAATATGTCTTGAAGAGCATTTGTTAAACATTACTTGAGAAGATATGGGATTATAGGGTTTATTTGTACTGAAAATGGGATATACATAATGAGTAATAGAAGAAAAACGAAAAGAGAAGATAAAGGAAATAAAGATAAAAAATCAGATAAAGAAAAAAAATAAAAGGGTTGTAAAAAGAGCAAACTGAAAATAGAATAAAGGGAAAAGAAGAAAAAGAAAAGTAATATGTAATAAGGGAAGAAAGAAACTGTCAAGAACACATAAGACAGATATGAGTTAATAATACAGGTACATAATACAGTATTTATTTATTAGTTGTGTTGACAAAAGATGTAAGGGAAGAAAGAAACTGTCAAGAACACTTATGACAGATATGAGTTAATAATACAGGTACACAATACAGTATTTATTTATTAGTTGTGTTGACAAAAGATGCAGTGAACACAAAAAAAATAAAGGAAAGATTAAAAAAAAAGTGATGTGGAACTCTGAAGAAAATGTGGGTCTGGTTATTAGGAATCTCATGAAAAAATAATATGAACTACAGTGAACCCTCACTTTACGTGGTTAATTCAACCCACAGGGTACCGCGGAAAGTGAGAAACGCGTAAAGTGAACAACATAACATATGGGATTAAATGAAATAGAGACCGGCTGACCCCCAAACTCCACTTTTTCTGACACAATACCTATGTTCTAGTAAAAATAACATCTTAATTTTATGATGGTACATGCACACAATTAATACTTAAGAGAAATAGAGAAATACAGTCGCCAAGTTAATGTCCATTCAAATACAGTAGTACCCCGATTTACGCTGTCAATTGAACCCACAGGGTACCGCAGAAAGTGAAATCCGTGTAAAGTGAACAACAGAACATATGGGATTAATTCCAATAGAGACTGGCACGACCCCCAAACTCCACTTTTTGACGACACACATGTAAGGCAATAATTGTCACTCTTCATTTTCGGCACACTGCTGCCGTTAATCACATGTAAGACAATTGTTGCCATTTTTCGTTTTCGCCCCTCTGCTGCCGTTAATCACATGTAAGGCAATTGTTACCATTTATCGTTTTTGCCACACTGCTGCCGTTAATCACATGTGAGGCAACTGTTGCCATTTTTCGTTTTCGTCCCCCTGTTGCCGTTAATCACATGTAAGGCAATTGTTACCATTTTTTGTTTTCGCCACCCTGCTGCTGTTAATCACATGTAAGGCAATCGTTATCATTTCTCGTTTTCGCCACACTGCTGCCGTTATTCACATAAAAGGCAATTGTTGCCATTTTTTTTTTTCGCCCCACTACATGCCTGTCCATATCTCACACACACACATACATTAATAATCCCTCTATACAGTACATCTACTTGAGTGGTTTTGACAGGTGTTAGTGATCAAATCCATTATTTTGAAACATCAAATGTGCCTGAAGTAAAATAATACACTAAGATACAGTAAATCAATATCATGTTAGTGATAAAAGATCAATACAGTGGTGCCAGAGTGGTGAAACACGGTGAGGCCTGGGAGGAGGGGGCCATAGATGAGTCCCTCCTTCCTCCACCTGGGGGGAGGGGGCCAGAGATGAGTCACTCCCCACTCCCCTTGAGTCACGTATTCCTACAACTCTAAGATGTGAAGGTCATGTTAAAGTGATCAATATCTCTGTTGTTGCCACTTAATCCCTGTAACAATCACATTTCTTCATTACTAACAAATTATCTTCACATTCCCACCAATATAATGGAAATCTATGAATAGCAGAAAGGTGCTGCACATTAATACCAAAAGACACTGAAAAAATCAACTGTAGTAAGAAAATAGAAAATTCTTCATACCAGTCAATAGGCAACTTCACAAACTTGAACGTGATTGGTCAAATAAAACTATACAAATAATACGTCATCCGGTACTTTTCCTCTCGTTCATGGCATCAGTAGCATCATGGACACGGACTTGAATGTTGCCTACATCCGCTACCCTCCCACGACAGCCAACGAGCCCCCAGACGGCCCCTGTCATGTGTGTGACGAGTATGGCTCCTGCCACACCTGCAACAGTCATGCTCACACATGCTTTATCAAGCCTGCAGGTATGTGTGTGTGTGTGTAGACAGATGTGTTTGTGTGTGAGTGTGTGTGTATACACAAGGGCAGATCCACGAATATCAGAAGTGGGGGTCCAAAAAGTTGTGGGAGGGGGAACAAGGTGAGCACAGCGAGCCCGGGGGAGACCACTGTAGTCCCCACCCCAATTTTTTTTTTTTTTTTAGATCTGACCAATATCATGGGCATTTTGAAGCCATGTGCACTTGATATGAGGAGATATACTGAAGTCGTTAGTAATAACTTTTTGCTATACAAAACCGCCAGAGTACAATACTACATTAAAGAAAAAGTATTGGAATTTTCTGATGAAAACAGGGGTCCAGGCCCCCATGGATCTGCCCCTGGTACATGTGTGCATGTGTGTGAGAGTATGATGTTCTTCTGTTTAGTTAGGTGTGTCAGTGTGTGTGTGTGTGTGTGTGTGTAGAAGGAAAAGTTATCATTTATTTGTTGATATTTACGGGAAGGTAAGCGTTTGAGGTGTGTGTGTGAGTTCATTATTGCTTATTCATTTATGTGTATAAACCTGTATGTGAAATTACCTGTAATGTTGACCTGTGGTTGTGTCTCATTGAATAGTCATCCCTTTTCCCTTTCATTTATAAATATTCCATTGTAACATCTACACCTTGGTTTCAGGAGGCCCAAAGGGGACAAAGGAGGAAGACAGAAGTGCACGAGGGGGAGGAATGAGCCAATCACAGCAGGACACTACAGCGGCCTCACAGCATTCTGAAGTGGTTAGTTTTCTGGTCTTGGTTCATGTGAAGACGAGAGATAGAAGGATAGATAAGAAGAGATGGATGAATATGGATAAAAAGATTTGATAAAAGTGGAGATAGATGGATAAAGATAGTAAGCTGAATAGGGAGTGAGTCAGATGAAAGTATAAATGACAGATAAATTAATAGAATTAGAAGTAGATAGGGCAAAAAATAGAGGAGATAATGATAGAAATCCTATTTGCATTACAAGAGATAGACAGACACGCACACCAAGTTAGAACTAGAAAAAAGTTGAGTTATTTACGTAAGCCAAGCAACCTACTGTATTAACTATACCGTACCTTACTTGTTAAAGTCCATAACCCCAAAATCCAGATTCTAAAAGTCTCATACGATAAATATTCCTCTTAAGTGAAGATGTAACAATGAATTGGCTGGCTTAAGCTAACGAATAAACATAACCCAACTGAAAATCTACCTTAATTAGATACTTTCACTAAGACCAGGCTGAATTAACGTACAGAAACCTTCAAAATTTTCCATACATTATTTTCGTCCTTGATTGGTATTTGGTAAATGTATTTAGTTAAGCTCTCTCTACTTATACCTCTCCCTCTCCCTCAGGTTCACCAGTGGTTCCTTCTCCTCTCATCACACTCCCTGGTTCTGTTGTTTGATGAATCTTGATTAAATTTTGATTATTTTTCTCATGGGTGAAAATGTCTCGTGGTGTTTGTGCCAATTAAAGGTCATATGAATCCCATTCTGACCTGACTTGACCTACTCTAATCTAACTTGACCTAACCTGACCTACTCTAACCTGGAGTACTGTCACTCCGTATGGTCTGTGAGATATGTTAGAGACTGTCAATTGATTAAAAACGTTCAGAAGAGGGCCACCAGACTGGTACCTGCACTCCGGCAACTCAGGTACCCAGAGAGATTAAAACGCCTGCATTTGTCTAGCTTTGACTATAGACTGGTAATGGGTGAATGCATAGAAGTAGATAAGCACCTCAGAGGCCATCACTCAGTCGAGTTTTCATACCTGGAACGAGCCGATGTCCGCCCCACTAAAGTTTGAAGACTCCACAAGTTTAGAAAATTGTCAGGGCAAACTTTTTTGGAGTGAGAGCTGTGAACTCTTGGAACATTCTGCACCGAGTGTGAGCTCATTCAAGACCAACCTTGATCAACACTGGCACAGATACAGATACATTCAGGAGCCAGTACATGCTAGCACCTGCCAGCAGTGCCTAGCAGAATCGTAACCCAAGCGGCTAACTGGCCAATCAATGGCCAGACGGAACACACGCTGTAAGGTTACAAAAGCCCACTTATCTCATACATGTCTTTCCAGGACAATGCCAAGGGTGTGGGTGGTAGCATCTACAAGATCGAGGAGTCAGAAGTGGGGAGTAAGATGAGTCTCTCCCAGGACTCCAGCACTGAGAGGGGAAACTGGCAGACCAAGTGGGATTATTTCCTCTCTGTCGCAGGGTTCTCCATCGGCCTCGCCAACGTGTGGAGGTTCCCTTACCTGTGTTACATGAATGGCGGAGGTGAGTAGGGTGGAGATATACACACACACACGTGTGCAGGGATTTCCAAACATAAATGCAGGGATATACACATACACACACACACACACACACATGTAAGCAGTTTAGCCTTGTTTAGTCTGTAACCAGTATAGCAACCAGAGTATTATACACGATGGATGAATAAGTTTTCAATACGCATTTTGCATTGACCCGCATGGGTCAGAGAAGTTGTCATAGCAAGCATTTAGTAAGCATTTATTTAGCCTGCTCAGACGCAGCTGCTTTAGTCACGTACACGGTCTGGCGACAGTGTGTCCACCAGAGATGTCTCAATATGACGATATCACCTTTGAAGCTCATTACTTATTCAATTAATGACTCTTACTTGATAACTAGGTACATTGATTATCACTGGTAGACTTCCAAGTATTTGATGTAAAGTACTAGTCAGATTAGTTAGATATTTGCAACGTCAATTAAGGATGATTCACGGCTCTAACGAGATAATTTCCAGACAGCTATTTCAGTAACGCTGCTAACACTGATTCAGGTGTTCATGCCAACCCTTCCTACTGGTAGAAGCTTCTAGAAGCTTGAACCCATGCATCCTTCGTGACGTCATTGTCAGTTAGCCGGGGTAGGTCCGCCCTGGTATAGCTAGTCAGTCTTTAGCTGGACACCACACATTACTGATCTACCACTGAGCAGTAGCCTGAGAGACCCCTTCAGTTCTAGCAGATCTAAATAGCATCTCTAACACTGCTCTCAAGCTCACAGTCCTCAGTCCCAGATCAAGTGGCCAGCCTCTCTGTAGATACAAGTATAAATATATATCTGTATCCGTCCACCCATCTCAGAGAAGTGAACTAAGACAGACAGTTTTTTAACAATATCTGGTAATTCCCTAATTAAATGTGAGTCTTCAGAGGAAATTACAGTGAAGTTACAGGGTAAGTTACACACACACACACACACACAAATCACATACACATGCATAAATGTGTCTCCAATTATTGGAAAATGTGATGTGTTATTCAGTAAGTCTGTGCCGATATTTACTGAGTCTTGTGTTGTTACAGGTGCATTCCTGGTGCCTTACCTGCTGGTGTTGGTGGTGGTGGGTCTGCCCCTCTACCTGCTGGAGTCCGCCCTCGGTCAGTTCTCCTCCTGCAGCTGCTTCACCCTTTACGAAGTCTGCCCCATCTTTAAAGGTAAACCTAGGTTAGGTATTTATGGTAAGGACAGCCGTTTATGGGCACATATGTAAAGTAGGATGAAACGTTTAAACATATTCAAGGTAGAGGCAAGAGATCAAGTTTTGGACAGGTAAGCAAAGTAGTATAGTAGTATTCAAGGTGTTTGGTTAAGTTTAATAGTGCAAGGTAAATATTACGGTCGACTCAGCTACCTTTATCTGGGTATGATAGAGGTTTACTGACTTACCCAAATAATGACCAGGTTTGTGCTCCTCCTGTCAGCTGATTGGCTTAGAGACTGGCAGAAGACCTGACCTCAGTAGTGTATATAAACACATGAAGACTAAAACCCAACAGGTCATTCATTTATTGACCTCATCTTGATGTTCCTGAGAGGTCATGCTTTTTTGGAGTCTCAGTGACGCAAAGTTTGGGAAGAGATGCAAGTTGTGAAGTGACAGAATAATATTTGTTAAGTAATACACACACACACACACACAGTAGATAAAAGAAAAAACTTTACTTCGTACCTTCACTAAGACCCAGTTATTTCTCTTCTTTGGGTGTTATAAACACCTCTGTAATATACTGCTCATTTGCATACACCTGTTTCCCTCCTCCAGGTGTTGGCTACGCGACGTTTATCATGAATCTGGTGTTCGTGGCGGTGTACAGTGTGGTCATTGCCTACCCCCTCGTCTTCCTCTACAACTCCTTCAGTACCAAGCTGCCCTGGTCCTCCTGCGGCAACACATGGAACACCCCAGCCTGCTCCCTCGTGAGTACCTGGGCTGGGGAGGGAGGTGTTAGTGGGAGGGAGGAAGGGTAGGAAAGAGAGAGGGAGTGTGTGAGACAAGTGAAAAGTAAGATAAAAAAGTTAAATAAGGACGGTTATGGAAATATTAAATGTGTGCGTGTCTTAGAATGCATCATAACCGTTCACATCAGATGACCAGCACCAGCCATTAAATAATTCTTGTATCTCGGTTTATTTCTACATTATGAACAGTCTCGCATAGCACAGTATATCTTTATTCCATCATGGGAAGCTACTTGTGCTAATAGTACCTCATCGTTCTTGTAGTTTAGCAGCTCAAGAGTTTATTTACATTGTTAATTTAATGATTATTTTACCTTTATGTGTATAGGTCTATTGATATATGTTAGGTATATTTGAATAGTTCCATAGACTTTAGAAATAATACTACATGCTTATGTTACTTGTGGTCTGATAAATACTCTCGTTCGTCGTTGGGGAAGTGACGTTGGTTGAGTACAGTGTTGGCCAGACTGCCTTTGTATACTGTATTCACACTGTCAGACTGATGGGATGCAGTGTCAAGTGAATCACCATATTTTTTACACTTCTTTTTGAAACAGAACTGTATCACCCTCGTTCAAGTTACTTTTACTACAAATGTATGAACAGCCAACACACTAACTGCTTATATCTTGTTCACTCCCGAGATGTTCAGTAGTATGTAACTGGCTATATTGTTTATTTAATTACCATTATGTTTTGGTTTACCTTCAGATACGAGATATTAAGGTCATAATTGTTCCCAAGAGTCACAGTAATACATTATTAAGTTTCAATTAATGTGATTTATGGATGTACTCACATCTATCCTCTGTCAAGTTTACTCCTATCCCTATACTTTATTGGTATTTTTTATGGAAATGTAAATACAAGTCTGGTAATGTTACACTTGAGATCACTTGGTCCTCCAACACTGTCACAAGAGATGCACCGGGGATTGAGACACACTCTCCCTCCAGTGGGTAGTTCTCTCCTCTCCCACTGCCCAGTCCCCTCAACACGCTGCCAGTCTCTACATCTATGCTAACTTTCATTTGTTTTCTAAATGGCATTACTTTTCCTAACTTCAGGATATATCTTGTCTTTCCTTACTGTTTAGGGAGACTGTGTATGCCTGTCTGTCCGTTCCTCCGTCCGTTTTTATTTTGTATTTTGGTTATAGTACAACCAAGTCTCGAAGATGTTCGTTGTTCAATAGTTTGTGTCACGATGTTGAGGCACAACGGGGGCCTTGGCCACCCTCAATTGCTGTCATGCTGTTTAATGTTATCATGCTCTTTCCTGACTTTATATATATTACCCTCCTTCCCCGTCTGTGTACACTATATATATAATGCCTGGAGTAACTCATTATTTAACAAAATACTATACACCTTCCTGTTATAAAAAGTAACCTCGAGTGGTAGTGTGTTAGTGTGAATACGTTTGTGTGACTGTGGGAAGTATTGTATCAAGGGAACTTTTAGTTGCTCTCACACTTAAGGTATTGTCACCCCTAGTCACGTACACACACTCCAAAAAGTATCTTTATAGAGGATCCGATGAATTTCAGAATGAACACTGTGACTCCTGTTGTCTCAGTAGGGTTGTCAAAATACTTCGTCCGTTGTTTCGTTTTATCGAATACAAAATGGTGAAGATACTTTATGGAGCGTGTGTACTTCACCGCCTTAGGTCAGGTTCTGAGCCAAAAATGGAACTTTGGAGTGCTGTAAGAATGACCACACACACACACACACACACACACACACACACACACACACACACACACACACAGAGCAGCTACCTGAGGACTCCACTGTATATAAGTTTCATGATGAATGGTTGAGGTAACTTGCCTGGTGACACTCAGAGAGAAACACACACACAGACGTTGACACAGACACCCACAATCAGACAATCTTGGTCATTTCCTCACACAAACAGTCACATAAACTTAGTAACATAAACATACAGTTAAAAGACAAGACAACAGAAACATTCACTTGTACAACTACTTAGTTAATCGGCCAGAAACACTATCCAAATACAGAGGCGAAAAGTCGACAAGCAAACACACAGTCACACAAACGTATTCACACTAACACACTACCACTCGGCTAATGTAAAAACACAAACCAATCACACAAACACAGTAATCATACTCACTTATTCAAACAAACACTCACACAACCATGCTAATCCTCCACATACACTACACAAACACAGAGGTAAAAAAACAAAAACAATCAGTGAGGTGACTTGACCTATGTGGCAGAGGTCACATAATAACCTGACACTTCTCCCCAACAGGCAGAGAACCGGAACTCAACGCTCGCTGGAGATTCTCAACAACTCTCTCCTGCTGATGAATTTTTTCAGTAAGACAAAGTTGCCTTGACCACTCCAAAGGGAGGTGATGATCCTCCCAGACTTGTGTATCCATTTTGATTTTAGTTTTTCTAGTTTCTCTTTGTAAAAATTCTGGTCTCTGGCATGAATAGTTTCTTTCCTGTTCTCTCCTTTGGTTGATTGTTTTCGCATCTCCAGAATATATTAATGTTCTCTGGCGTAAATATAAACAATGCACAGTTACCAACACAAAACACAGAAGGATACCAACCCTTCGATAATCCAAGTACAATAATTCTACAAGCACTGTTAATTTCCTCTTCTGCGAAAGATACCTCGCACAGTTATCAACTTAAGTACTGTATTGTTTGTTTTTCATTTATGAGGCATTAATGGGACGGACTACACATAACTGACAACACAATAACCTTAAAATGTATTCAGTATTGACAATGAAAACCTATCAAACACAAATGGTAAAGTGCAGCAGTGTAAAAGTCAAGGATGTATTGTTTGATATGTAACCATTCTCTCCCTAACTACAGTCTCGCCATTCAATATTTCAAGTCACGTTCTTCAAGTGTCATAGCCAGTCAGTCAGTCTCTCTTATCTGCATGTAGGTGTGTATGTTCTCTTCTTCCTTGACTACTTTTTTTTTTTTACTTTTTCCCTTCCCTTCTCTTCCCTTCCCTTTCTCCTTCACTTTTATCTGCCCTCCATTTATTTCCTTCCCATTTTATCCTTTCCTTCCCTCCATCCACTTCCCTTCTCCTGTTCTAAGCACCAGACTCCTGCTGCTGAACACCATAACAAAGAACCTCCCTGCAGTGCCATCTGTCTACCGGTAGTGTTGTAGTGTGTGTATGTGTGTGTATATGTGTGTCAAGCAGCTGGAATGAGGCGCCATCTGTTGTCATGTCATACGGGTGATAGTGATGCAGACTGTAGGAGAATATCGCTCTAACACGCACCAAAGACTGTTGTTATTACTCCCATCACGTTTTGTATTGGAGGAGAATCGTATCATCATATTGTAAGACTTAGCATTTACGACCATAGGAATAAATTTAGTTATTATACGTTACATCAGATATGTTACTGTGACAGACAATATCTCCTCGTCACTCTAAGAGTTGTTTCCAGCCAATTTTAGAACAAAGAAAAAAAAATTATACATATTATTAATTTCTTCCTGTAAAATGCTTAAAAATTTGCATATATTTCTTTGGCTATGAATCTTTCCCTAAGCTTCATGTGTTTCCATTTGTTATTCATTGACGTCTTTGTGAAAAAAATATATATATCTTATCAACCTCAACTTCCACACACACTAAAGTTCTTCTCTTTAGTCACCGTTTTCTTAGATGTGATCAACAACCCCTAACTCTGGCGTCTTGAAGTAACTTTTCTCCCTATTTCAGTAACTTCATCTTGGAGATCTCAGATGACATTACCGAGCTGGACGGCTTCTTGTGGCCAGTTGTGGGAGCTTCCTTCTTCATCTGGACCTTTGTGTTCCTTACTGTCTTCAAGGGCATCAATGTCTTCGGGAAGGTAGGGAATACCTCAAACTCTCGCCATGTCTGTTGTGTGATACTCTGTGTGTGTGTGTGGAGGGTGATTTACTTCGTGGGTGTGGTAATACTGGCATGTTATCTCAGAGTTCTTTTGCCATTTGCTTTTTTCATGATACCTTGTGCCCTCTCTCTTTATTTACTTTTTTCTTCCCTCTCTCTCTCTCCTTTACAGGTGGTATGGTTCACGGCGATCTTTCCCTTCATCATGTTGTTTACACTTCTCATCCGGGGCTTGACACTACCGGGTGCTTGGGACGGCATCTACTTCTACATCTGGCCTAACTTTGAGAAGCTGAAGGAACTGAAGGTGAGTCCCACCCCTGTCCAAGACCCCCCACCCCTTCCACCCACCCCTAACCCCCCATCCACCACCCTCACCACCCCTCACCTCTCCTGACAGGTATGGGCAGCAGCGGCGGGCCAGATCTTCTACTCACTAGGGCCTGGCTGGGGGATCCTAACCACACTGGGTTCCTACAACAAGTTCCATAACAAGTGCCAGAGAGATGCCGTATTGGTGCCTATCCTAAACTGTGCCACCTCCATCCTGGCCGGGTTTGTGGTCTTCTCCGTCCTGGGCTTCATGGCGCACCGAACTGGGACCACCGTAGAGAAAGTTACTTCTGCTGGTGAGTGAGAGGTAGAGAGAGAGAGAGAGGAGAAGTAGGGAGATAAGGAGAGAGAAGAAATAGGGAGATAGAGAGAGGCAGAGAAGAAATAGGGAGATAGAGAGAAGTTGGGTCAAGTAAGGAGGAAGATACAGAGAAGAAGTAGGGGGAAAGGAGGGAGACAGATGTAGAGAAGAAACAGAGGAGGAGAGACCTAGAGAGAAAGAAAAAGTAATGAGAGAGGGGGAGAGATAAAGCAGAAAGAGAAATGAGAGAAGGAGGAAGCGGGATTAATTAGATAATAATAGTAATCTTTATGTGAAAACCAAAGTGTCTGTCTGTTCACTATGCACGGCTATATTTTTTGAGGTAATGAGATGAAATTATGCATGGAGAGGAGTATGCATCCCAGAAGTGTCAAGATGATAGGATATTGGGAGGTTGACCCCAGTGGTCGGCCCCCGAGATAACACTGGTTCAGATTTTTTGCTATGTATGGCCACGGTTTTTAAGATAGAGGGCTGAAATTTGGTGTGTTCATATAAATATCTCTGAGAACATTCACGAACATCTGTGCACGTCCACACTCTTTAACAAAGGTTATTTGTGTATGTGTGTGTGCACTAAATTTTGGTCAAGGACAGGTGTAGGCTATGAGCTGCCCCTCTAATTCTAGGGCGCTAACTTTACCTCGTTAAAATAAGCTCAGACAGCGCCAGGTATCCCAACACATTAATAATAGCAATAAGGTAAAACACAACAGGTAATGCAAGTAATAGGAGGAGGCAGTGAGTCTCACCTGTGTGACACCTCACAGGTCCCGCCCTTGTGTTTATCACCTACCCAGAGGCGCTCTCCCTCATGCCCTTCGCTCCTCTCTGGGCCGTCCTCTTCTTCCTCATGATCTTCTTCCTCGGCATCGACTCCATGGTGAGAAGCGAACTTGTTACTGTGTTGGCAGAGTGTGGGTATTGTCTTCACTGTACTGTGTGTGTATCTGCAGTGACTCTACATTTACCTACAACTGAACTTGTATCTTTAACTTCACAGTACCTGTACAGTACCTACCATAATAGCTCTTACTACTCTCGCAAGACTGTTACCACTGTACTGTCATCGCCAAGTCGACGTCACGTTACTATAACATTAATCACTGTATCTTATCACTGTAGCACCATATAAATTCACTGTTGCACTATCCACAGCAACACCTCAACTAAGGTACCTGTACACCCGTAACCCATTATCAAAGACTTAGTAATCTGGATAATATGGACAAATTCTATTTAAGTCCTGCACACATGCTACACCTGTACAGTAATAACCTATTTTTCACTGATTCATTATATACAGGTAGAATTAGGGCAGCTAATATCAAATACACTTCACACATAACATAGACATACCAGAGTTTCACTAAATTTCTATGTCACCAACTCATGCTGTCTGTGCCCACCAGATCGCGCACATCGAGACAACAACTGTGTCATTTGTGGACGAGTTTCCTCAGTACCGCCACCGCCGAGGCCTCGTCACCTTCCTTGTGTGTTTCTTCGATATGCTCGCCTCCCTCCTCTTCTGCACCAGGGTACGACAATCCTCACCTAACCTAACCTATCCTGACCTACACTCAGTTCTACTTACAGGATTCTCAAAGGATTCTCAAAGTATCTTACTTTACTCTTTCCTCCTTTAATTAGAGATGCACGACTAGTTGTACATTAATTTCCCTCGTTTGTGTAGACGCAAGACAATCCAAAGCCATTTTGTCTCTACTCCCAGCCATTCTGTATTTACTCTCAGCCATTTTCAATCTACGTTCCTCCACCATAAAGTAACACACTGTCAACATAACCTTCCTCCAACAGGGCGGGATATACTGGCTAACGCTGGTGGACTGGTACAGCGCCTCCTACACCCTCATACTCAACTGCCTCTGTGAGATCCTCATCTTTGGCTTAATATACGGTAAGTTGTTAGGTTAGGTTAGGTCATAATTTTGTATGTGACGTGTGTGAGTTGTCATTTAATACATTTAATACATCCTGGGAGGTGGAGATTGGTACCATCCATCAGAGGCAAAATGTCGTAAAATATATAGAATTCTGTGAGAGAGAACGAGTGAAAAGTGAGTGAGTGACTGAAAAATAAATAGCGGAAGAGAAAAGAAAGTAGAAAGACAAATTGAGAAAAGGTTAATAGGAAGATAATGGGTGTGTGTGTTAATGTGTTGCAGGAGCTGGCAGGACAGTGAGGGACCTGCAGATCATGACCACTGAGAAGGTCAGCTACTACTGGTACGTCGTCTGGCTGGCCGCAGCCCCTACCGTCTTACTGGTGAGTCCTGACCCTCAACCACTGCCAGGGGAGGGTGAGTAGGGGCAGGTTGGGAATGAAAGGCAGGGAGGAGCAGGATATAAAGAGAGAGGCAGGGAAGAAGAGTGAGCTCCATTTCTGGTAGAGGAAAGAAGGAAGAGGAAGATAGGGAAGGCAGGGAAAGAGAAGTGGAGGGTGGTTAGAGGAGGGAAAGAGAAGGGGGAAGGAGAAGAAATAAACAAGACTGATAAGAGAGATAGGTAACAGTAACACATGTGTTTATCAGCTGATCTTCATCAACACGATGGTGAGCAACGCGCCAGCCAGTTATCGTGGGGAGGCGTTCCCAGGCTGGGCTCAGGGCATTGGGTGGCTCACTGCTCTTGTCTCCATGCTGGCTATCCCAATCTACTTCTTCTATTACCTCACCTGTGCCTCTTCAGGAAGTCTTTCACAGGTAAGAAGAACTTTCACCTGGTTCTATCAAAGATCTTTGTTTTCAAGTACTGTATTCATGATAACGGCTAGAATTCTTTGCCTATACCTGTACTAAAGTTTAGTTTCTCACTCCTATCCATCGCTTTCTCCTTCTTTCCTTATCCCTGTCCTTTCTTCTCTCTTTTCCTATTTCCCGTCTCAGATCACTATCTTCATCCATGTCGACAGCGTATGGAGTGCGGGTTGCAGCCAGCAGAGTCATGGGGCCCTGCAGTGGAGAGCCACAGGGAAGAGTGGGAAACTCTGTGTAAGCAGCAACCTCTCCGTCACCGCCTCCTTCACCCGGACCTCTTCCCAACTTTCCCCAACTACAACCTGACGGAGTCTTCCCGCGCCTTCTCGAAGCCACAGGACCGAGATTTTTCGCTTAATAATTATTCTTCAAATATTACTCAAGTTTAACAAAGATTTCAGACAGTTTTGATGACCTTCGGTGTATATCATCGCCTCTGGCTTTTATAATTTATCTATGAAGTGTGTATGATCGTTTGAGAGACTTCTTGTCTAAGGTTACCTGTGTTGTAGCTGATCCACAACTCAGTATCTCACCCGAGACGCTTATTTGATGTTACTGATCATAATTATTCTTAGTTTGTAAGAATGTTTGACATTTGAATCCTGGCACCTGACAACTCACACATGACAACAGTAGCTAGGCCAACATGTAATATCTTATTTATGGCGATTATTGGTGTCTCAGTCTGCCCTTCAGCTTCTTTATGGGTCTTCTGTATCATCAACTAACACTAAAAAATAAATTAAAGAACTGTACATAGATCACTTAGAGTCGGATGGTGATGGTTGGCCCACTTAGAATATGTCTCTTTTTATCTACAACTTTTACTCTTAATATCACTCATAAAATTTTATATGTTTTCAAAGTTAATTTATATTTTGCTTTGACACCTTCTTCTGCATGTCATAGGTGGTGGTAGAGCCTGGGTCACTGTGGCTGTGGTGTGGTGCTGAGCGGCTGTTGTTGTTGACAAAATCCCGCCAATCAGTTACCCAGTGGACAAATCTCACAAATGTTTTAATAAAGTAGACAAACTCTCACAAATTAATGTCTATATTAAGTACAAATACCTCACTAGGTTATATTAGTTTAGGTGAGATTTTGCTCTGCATCATATACAGAACGGTCTGTGTCCCTGACTCCACCGTACTCAGGGTTGGTCTCGCAGAAAGTAACTACAGCATTAACAGTAATATATACTTTAACCTTATTTATTTTTAAAACATTCAAATAACACAAAATAAAAGAGATAATACTGTATTAAATTTTCTGAAGATAAGAAAAATATTGTATGTAGACCCTGTAGTGACGCAGTGGTTCTCAAACTATGGGTCATGATCCAAAAGTGGCGCTGACCCAGCCCTAAGGGATACCTTGCCCGCTAAAAGGTTAAATTGCCTTCATAGTTCGTCTTGTTTTCTTCCCCGATGGTAAGACAGGTGGGTAGAGGTAATTGTCGTGCTGTTTTGTTTTTGTGCACATTAACCAATCTTCTTTACGTTTCTTTTATTGTATTTCTAGCAGTAATATTGTAGAAAAATGTGTAATGAAAGTTTCTTATTCTTTGCTTGTGAAAATGGTAACTCATGTACTGTATATGTTTTCGTTCTGAGGCTGAGACAGTGCTGTGATGTGCTGTCACTCCCTCAGCTGAGCTCAGGAGTCAGGACAGGAGGTGTTTAGTTACTGTAGGCACCAACCAGTGAAGCCACACACGTTTTTTCTCACTCTGATTGTCTTGCCCTGTTACCTGTTGTGAGCTGTGCCACACTTACAAATGCAGGTATGTTTACTTCAAAGTAGTAATGTGATATAAGGGGCAGGCAGGCTGAGAATGTTTGTAAAAAAGGGATGGTGCTGGACTACTGATACCAAAACACCAGGAGCCAGAATCACCAAGCGATCTTAAGTGAAATCGTAAATTTCATGTGAGCAAGTGGTTTTCAGCTTTAGCAGAGGAACAAGTTAAATCTAATTCCCGACAGAATCATGGCTCCCATTAGTTTAGTTAGGTTTTTTTAAACATGCAAATATGACAATAAATTTGATTTAACCTTTTTTTAATCAATGGGTCGCAAAGTTCCGAGATATTCAAAATTGTGCCACACTCGAAAAAGTTTGAGAACCACTACATTAAGTAATGTAGTGTGTTGTGTCATTATTTAGAATAAATTAAGTGAAAGTGGAAAAAGCACCTTCTCATGCCATCTATTGACAAATAAATAAAACAAATGACTGCCTCCAGCCTTGATGTTCCTTTACTGTACAACTTATAATAGATGTGATTCCTAATAAAGTTCATTAGTATTATTGTTATTATTATTAAGAAAATCATGTCTTCACTCAGTTGCATGTGGTACTGTCAACCAAGACTTTTAATTGTGTGCAGAAGTTATTAACAGAGAATTGTTCAGTATTTACACATGAGAGAGGGAAGCATTCCTGCTGTCTAGTAATATTACAGAAATAAACAGTGAAAACAACATCACGTTGACTTGATTATTAATTTTCTACAAAGACAGGAACTAGGTTTTTTTGTTATGAATTTATACATATGTTTATGTCTATACATGGCATAACTATATATTTTTTAACGTTTAATTGTTGACTAATAGTGTGTGTTTTAACTGACAATACCTGTACATGCTTTATCACCTCTAAATATTTGTGAAGTAACATGTGCAGATATTATTCAAGGTAAGTTGTACAGCACCAGGCGATGATGGTGTGATTTATGGCATATTGAACTGTTTAGTTTGTCTGGAAAATAGTCCATTGTTAGACTTATTTAATATGACCTATACAGAGGGTACATTACCACCAGCATGGAAGAGAGCTATAGCCATTCCTGTCTCTGAGGCAACTAGGTGATACAGGTCAGTGTCATTAAGAAGAGTGAGAGAATATTATTAAACAGGCTTCTCTATATATTGTGGGGGATAATTCATCTTGTAATGTATTTGTTTTTGTGTAAGGAAAAGGTAATTCAGACTGTGTCATAAAATGCAGACAGGTGTAGAGCTTCTGTGGATGTACAAGGAGTATTTGATAAAGCTCATAGTGAGGTAACAATGAATGAACTGGCTGCACTAACAGTCTAGTCGGATAATGAAATGTTTGTGCACTTTTCTTTACAAGTATCATTTCGGGGACACACATTGACAATAAAAGTACCTGTATTTTGTTGAAGGGAAGCACTCTGCTACTGCCCCCTGGTGGCAGGTGGCACCACTTACAGATATGCCATCATGATGACTCAATAAGGTTTTACTAAATTGGCCATGTCTCAGCTTCTACTCAATATTTTATCATTCTGTTTTCAGATATACTCATACAAATATGCTCTAAATAACACTTATTCATGATGACATGATTTGAGTAATATTTTTTTTGATATATATCAAAACGGAAAAAAAAAATTTAAAAAAAAAATAAAATTTTTCATAAATTGTGTATTTTCTTTCAACCGAGAAGCACTTCACCTATGTAAAATACATATTGCACTGAGAGCTCAAATTCAGTAGCAATGCCCAGGTATGGGATATAAAATGCGAAGAAAACAGTCAATCATCTGAACCCTAGACAGACTCCTGTCATTACTGTGGACCAGCCACTGTTTGCTATTGCAAAACAAGTGCAATGGGTGGGTTTCATATTAAAATGGCTGCATTCAAAGCTGCTGGCACTTGTCTTAAGGAAAGTGGATGGACAGAAGCTTTCATACAAGCAGGAGTTGCCACTTCTGGGACTGCTGAATCATTTCTGAAGGTCACCCTCCTAACCAAAGCAAGACTGCCCACCAAGTCACCGCTGCTGCTTTATCTGTCCCCAAGCACCAAGCCTACAAAGCTTATGTAGAGAACATCTTAGATGATGAGAGGGCACTTACATTCCATGACTGGGAAAAAGAAACTTGAAGAATCTCTCCGGTTCTGCTACCGGAACCTCACACTGAAATTGCAACTTACAATTTTTATTTTCTTGAGGGCACAGAGAGACAGTCTCTTTGATTTGTATATAGAGTCCCTTTCCAAGCTTTCCCCATGGTTTTTTGCACTAGATCAAAACCATTATGCAAGGTGGTTATTTGGGACCTGTCCTCCCTACAGGAAAATCATCCTGCTTTGGCTGCAAAGTTTCATAGTGAAAGATTTGTCATCTACAAGACAAAAAAATTTCTCACTCGGCATTGATTTTAATCAAGGGGAGGAGCAGAATATTGGACATCTGAAAGACGGTGGTGGAGTGATTGGCCTGACAGAAAATCAAACAGCATTCAGAAGCTAACAAGTGGCTTGCCCTGAGCTAGTCCATATCCCTGAGGAGTTTGAAGGAAATCTTCAAAGAGACCCAAACAAAGAAAACCTCCATTACCATGAACAAACTCACTCTGTACAGGAATTATTTTACACTCAGCTGTCTTCTCTTGTGACAATAATGAAAGAAATAGGTAACCCTTTTCAAGAGGACAGTCCTGATCTGTTTGTATTAGATACAAGAGATATTGTAGACAGTCGAGTAGTTTTGTCAGTAAAAACTGTTGAAGAGGTGGGACAAAGAGGATACTCATAGTTTTATCAGGATCAGCTCATTAGCAGATCAAAACCAGTCCCTGAGACTATCCCCCCAAAACAACCCTGCTCTGTTCAGTCGGCATAGACCCAAATCCAAAAAAAGTTCACAGCTGCAGGTGACTGTACTCCAGGATAACTGTGACCTCTTGACACATCTTTATGTGTCCTGTCAATCAAGAGCTATCAACCTTGAGGACTTATTTATTCATGAGAGTCATGTCTACCCAACATCAGTCTGAGATCATGGTAACCTTAGGTTTTGCAGCAAATCAGATTTTCTCCCATGTCTTAAGAGTCACACAAACCCAGTGACAGACACCCCATCAGTATTCTGGGTGGAGCAGCATTAGTTCACTTTCTTGTGCCAAGTGAAGCAAAACATTTAATGATTATGCCAAAGATATTTTTGTTCCATATATAAAAAAGCAACAAGAGAAACTTCACCATGTTGATTTAGTCTGGGATGTCTATATCAGTGACAGCCTGAAGTCAGCCACTTGGCAGAAAAGAGGAAGTGGTGTAAGGCGACGTGTGACAGGTACAACACAGGTGCCACAGAATTGGAGTTCGTTTTTGCAAGATGAAAACAGTAAGAAAGAACTATTTGACTTTCCTTACAAACAAGCTATGATTATGTGTATGAGGGCTGGAACAGAGCTGTATGTGACTGATGATGAAAATATTCTGAGCTCTGAAGATGAAGACCTTAGCAACCTGTCTCCCTGCAGGCATGAAGAAACAGACTCAAGAATGATTGTGCATGCAGCTGATGCCGCCAGCAAAGGCAGCAGGAAGATTATAATTAGAACTGTAGATACCGATGTGGTCATTCTAGCAATTGCATTTTTTGAAAGGCCGAGTGTTGATATGTTATGGATTGCGTTTGGGACAGCAAACACCTTCCACTACATATCCATACATGAAATTGTTGGTATCATTGTAAGTCAAAAAGCTCAATTCTGTGGAAAGGGTAAGAAATCAGCCTGGGATGTATGGAAGGTTTTTTCTGAAGTTACATCTGCATTTCTCGGAAAATCATCACCCGGCAATGGCATATCAGCCAATGTTCATGCTCGCTCGAGAGGTTTGTTGCCATTCTGTATGACAGGACAAGCTGTTTGTTAAATGTGAGTGACTGCAGAAGAGATCTTTTTTCAAGGAAAGGCAGGACTTCCATGAAAACGCTGCCTCCAACCAAGGAAGCCCTCACTCAGCATTTGAAGAGAGCCGCTTTCAAGCTGGACACATATGGGGACAAGCTTTGGTGGGAGATATTGGCTCACCTTCACCATCAGAGTGGGGATGGGTGAAAGAGGATGCTGTGTGGAGACCTTTCTGGACAAGGCTACCAGAGGCTTCTAAGGGTTGTAGGGAGCTTGTAAAATGAAGATGTCAGAAGGGACGTACAACCCCTCGTGGCTGTTCAAGAGTGCAGATGCCTTGTACACCTTTATGTGATTATGTCTGTAGCAGAACATCTAAATGCCAGGTTAGAATCTGTGTCATATACTGTAGAGTACCACATAAACTATCATGTACAGTTGGGGAATAATATTCTGCCCCACATTGTGCTGGCTTGTAGAGATATCCGGCAACTCTCCTAATAGTAAACAGAGCATGAATGAACCTTTCTTGGATTGTAGTTAGGATCCAAATTGGATGAAAACTTGCTACAGTCTAAGCCCTGTTCCTTCATAATAGTTAACTACGTGCCCTGTTTACTACTACGAGAGATGGCAGATGTATGCACTGGCCACAGCAATGTGGGGTGTATATTAATACCCAACTGTACCTGTAAATATGGTGAAATGTATCTAAATAGTATGGTTTTCATGTATGGGGTTTACTTTTTATCACTCTATTGTGAAGTAGATTAGTAATCATTGTAAATAACCTAGCTATTTTATACTGACGATTGAATACTGTACTAGTACATGTAGTAACACTGTTCTGCCACCTGGGAGCATAACTAGTAATTTCATATATTTTGATTTACAATAATCTTGTACAATAACTTCTGTTAAGACAGAAAGCATTTTTCAGTGTAAAGTTGTTACTGTCACAGAGAATAAATATAATTTGCACATTTTCATATCTTTTCTAGCATTTTTCTGATGTTTTTGTAAATATCGACAGAAAATAATGCTCAAATCACGTCATGATTAGAAAATTTACTTTAGGGCATCTTCTTAGGAGTATATAAATGAAAACAGAGTGAATAAATATTGAGTGGAAGCTGAGATATGGTCGATTTAGTCAACCTTATGAGTCATCATGGCGGCGTACTGTACCTGTAGGTTGTAGGTGGAGCCATCTGCCATTAGGGGGCAGTAGCAGAGTGCTTCCACTCAGCAAAATACTTGTACTGCATTGTCAATATGTATGTGTGTGCCAAATATGATACTTGTAAAAAAAGTGCACAAACATGTCCTTCTGAAGCATTATGCTACTAGACTATAGGGGGTATCATCGGGAGAGTTGTTACACTGAATGGGTGGCGATAGGCTTGTCACCCACTGGGGAGTAATAAATTAGTTAAATGAAAAATATTATAGGGTAACCAACAATAAAGCGATGTGAAGCCAAGATCCTTTAATGCCGATGACACGATTCCTTGGGCGTTACAGACTGTGAGTGTTGGTGCACTTCCCTAACTAGCGGTGAGCAGTTAGCATTAAGTACTGTATATTCACCTTATGTCAGTTGTATTTGAAGAAAAAAAGAAACTGTTACATATTTCAGTTAACATTATGAAGGATAAAACACCAAATTGAAGTCGTGTTTTTAAGAGGCTTAATACCACGTTCAGGACGACAACACAAGGGGTCGACAACAATAGAGGGTTCAAGACTCGGACATTGTCATGTCTGGTGGGTTTATATTATACATTTTGAGACATTCCTGTAAGTCACCTTCAGGAATAAGTATCGATTCTTAAAACATGATTTCCTTTAATTTTTTATATGATGAGTTCTTTTTATATATAAATATTAACGTTTAGTCCTTTGCTGTTTTAGAATTCAGGATCAATGTGAGGCTATTTCGAAACGTTTTCTGAGCGAGGCCTTGAAACAGAACTTGAAGCAGTAATGAAGCCCGGCCTCCAGTTAGAGGTGGTCGACGTCGTGACTGGGAGCGGGTCAGACACTCAGTCTGGTTGACGCAGTCGGCGAGGGAGGTAGCAGTGATGACGGCGCCAGTTGTTGCCTCCACCCAAACCAAAGGTTGTAATAATGAGTCCACAGTTTGTCCATGTGGTAAGTTAAGTGCTTTTGACGAAGTCCTCACAACTGTTGTCTGTGGAAGTGTTTGTCGACATACAGTGGCTGGCTCCTTGCTTGGTCCATACACAGGATCTAATATTTTTCCTTTTATAGCCAGTACGTCTAGAGAATAATGACACCGTAGATGTCCTTTCCTCACCACAGATGTAACTATGAGTCGTGTAATCATGGACGTTATTGTTACAGGCAAGATGTCTCCCGTGCATCCTATTGTTGGCTTGGTGTTGGTCACCACCTACTGGCTCCTGCTGGTGAGTCCGTGTCGTGTCTTGTTAGGTATTGTGATGCTTGGTTCAGGTGGTGTATTCGTGTTTATCTCGGTAACTATCAACCGAGTCACTTCTGCTAAAGTCTGCCCTCTATTTCGACTGCCAAACCAACAGACATGTAGCCAGGGCCATAGAGACGGGAGCTTCCTTGTTTGTTAACGAAAAAGTAAATTAGGTTTAATTTAAATAAAAAAATGGTTCCAAAACATTTGATAAGTCCTCAGTATGTCAGGATAATAAAGTCGCTGTTACAGTGTGTCGGGCTTGTTGGCTTGTGGATGGTGATGACCGCTTTCGGGACTGGTGAAGATCACTTGCCACCACCACCTCCAGTGTTCGTCCCCGCCACCACCCCGGAGCCTTACGTCGAGCAGTACACACAGTATGGTCACAGGTGAGGGGGATGTGGTCTTTACCATTCTTGTCCAGTAATTGTATATAAATAGATATACTGTCCGGAAATTTTACCCACTTGAAAATCACTTGGAGAAAAATACTTGCTTAATACCACCTTGGTTATCTTAATTGGTTGTTTGGGTGTACACAAACCCGTAACACAGCTTTACACTTGTGGCCAGACACACGCAGGACTCGATCAGCCGGGAGGAGGATCAGGTGTACCAGCAATACGTCTCTGACACTTACCGCCATGCCAACTACGGCCTAGACCCGCGGCTCTACCTGGTGTTGCCCTGTGGCGCCTGTGTCGTGGCTGCCGGGGTGCTGGCGATGGCTGGCATCTTCTCCATGGCGGTCTTCTCCACCACCGCTGTAAATATCTCGTCTTGTACAATTCCCTGCTGTATTTTCCTAGCCTGTGTTTTTTTCCTATACACACTATTCAGTACTACTAGTTGCATCAGAATTTTACCTGCTTATGTACTTGTACTAACAATGCTTTATTATGCTCCTGATTATTTACGTGGGCTGTGTTGGTGGCTCAAGAGTCTGCACACCTCGGCCGTGTTGTGGGTGTTGACCCTGGCGACCACGCTGGTATACAACTCCCTACTCAGCTGGTGGGACGTGCAGCTGGATGCCCTCCTGCTGACGTCAAGCTGGGTGGTGGGCATCCATACCGCCCTCCTTCTCGTACTAAGCCTCCAGGTACTGTTGATGCTGACAGCGTAATAATGTCAGCTAGTCTTACAGCTATTTCGTCTAGTTCTAAATCGGTAACAAGTTAAGACTGAAATGCTGATGTAGGTTTAAACCTTCACAATTTTATCCAGACATTAAGGTTCGAGTTATTAGATTCATTTAGCGTTAAATGTTTCCAATAAACCTGAGATTCTCCACCAGAGTTCCCCATTACTGTAGTAACAATCTGTTGTAGAGAGATTTCCTTCGTCCGATTCCTTAAGACTTTAAGCAGTGCAGAGTGAATGTCAACCAAATATTCTGCTGTCATGTATTGTATACCACCTCCCTGGCCCCGCAGGTCCTGTTGGCCACGTGGGAGTTACGAAGGCAGAGGACAGGCTGGCCAACTTTCCAGCTGAGCAACGTCTTCACCCTGGGTGCTTTGATGTTGACCACGAGACTGGTAGGTTTTTACGTAAAGTTTAACGCCTAACACAAAGACAATCCAGCCAGCTTGAGTCTAGGATCAGTCTGGAAACGCTTTTATGTAAAGTTCATTGACTAAAGTCGTGGACAGACGCACGTAACCTACACTAGTGACCTGGCAACGAGGAAAAAAATTAACTGCAATAGTGGTACTTAATTGCATGTCTCTTTCAGTATTTAAAGTGTTATTTTAAATTTATTTATTTATCGTAAACTTTTAACATTATTTCCCCCCATTGCCAGAGGGAACTAGTGTAGGTTCTGTGCTGCTGTCCATAGTGTAAATCTTCTCGTGCATCACAAAGTAGACGAAAATATAAGAAAGGTCCAAAAGTTGGGTTTTACTTTACAAATACAGGTTCTGGCGTTGTACCAGGCTGCAAACTTCTTCCAATCGTGGATGATGACAGGGGTTCACGAGGCTTCTGACTCCGAGTCTTGGTATTCACCAGTGTTCAAATATCCTGAGCTCTACGTCTTCCTCTGCTCCACCGCGTGCGTCTACGGTGCTACAGTTGCCGTACAGGATACTCTCTCGCATTTTATGGGTCCAGTACACAGCCATCTGGTGAGTGCACAGTACAGGTGTGGGTGGTGTACAGGTGTGGACCTATGGACGGTGTTCAGGTATGGACATTGATGTAGGAAGAGGAATTAAATATAATGGGGAGTAGGCATGATGTGGAATTAGTACAGATAGGCATTCTTTACGAAGTGAAGGTAATTGGATTTATTTCAGATGGGTTTTACTGATGTGATATCGGCCATATTCCACGGGTGTGTAGCTGTTGTCGCCTCGCCGCTCTTCGTGGAGGCCTTCGTTGGCTCTTACTTGGTGAGCCCGGTGATCATGATCCTGGCCATAGTGGTCTGTAATGTGACCTTTGCACAAGCCATCGTGTGCCTGGTTGTGCCAAATGTGTTGTGGACGCCGCCGCTAGTGATCAGGACGATCGCCAGCCACTTGTCTTCGATGGATCTCTTCGAGGGTGTCGTGGAGGCGGACGAGACCCAATCCTGTCAATCGGCTACTGAGAAGAACCCTGGTTATCCTATAGCTAGGATTGTGAACATCCTCTTACTGGCAAGTGTCGACTGTCGTTTGTGTACAAAATCCTCTCGTGGTGTCAACTCTTGATCAATTTACTGGGTAATGAAGTCTAACGCCTGTATTATTAAACATCTTCCCTTGAAGAGGGTCGTCGTGTTTCAAACCGAGTTTTAAACCAAGTACTTAACGGGGTGGTGTGGCGGTCCAATTAACTAATTCCAATATTATTGACCTCCACACCACCCCGTTAAGCACTAGTGTCCCTCGGGACTCGCTTAGTTTAAAACTCGGGTTGAAACACGACGACCCTCTTCAAGGGAAGATGTTGTTCAATAATACGGCGTTAGCATCTCGGGTTCTGGTAAAGTTCTGAATGTACACCGTGTAATAGTGTACAAGAAGCTTTACCGAGCCACTGAAGTGTAGTTATGAAAGGGGGGGGGGGAGGGGCTGAAACTATGGGTGCATGAAATACTTTAGTTCAAGTGAGGAACATTTAGGAGCTTTAAGGCGCCAGAATTAAAGACTGTAGCTGGCATCTTTGTATAAAATATTGACAAGATAATCTAAAACAGGTGTCAACATTCCTCGCTCTGGTGCTGATCGCCAGTGGTAGTTGGGGCTTCATGGGCGAGTCGTGGGGTGCGGTGTTGATGTTGTGTGGGGACTTTGCTGCCTTGAATGCAGTCCTTGCTGCCGTGGTGGACACAATTCCGCACCGTGCAGAGAACCCATCAGTTTTACAGGTGAGTGGCTTCGTGATATTAAGATTACTGGTGTATAGCCAACGTAGTGACCTCCGGACTTTAACCCAGAGATATTTGAGAACCTGCTCTCTGTAAAGAGTGGCGACTTCATAGTTGGAGTTCAGTGACTTGTAGAGCCTTACGCCCGTATTATTAAACATCTTACCTTGAAGAGGGTCGTCGTGTTTCAACCCGAGTTTTAAACTAAACGAGTCCCGAGGGACACTACAGTGCTTAACGGGGTGGTGTAGCGGTCAAATTAACTAATTCCAATAATTAATGTATAATATTGGAATTGGTTAATTTTACCGCCACACCACCCCGTTAAGTAAAGTACTGCGGTGTCCTTCAGGACTCGTTTAGTTTAAAATTCGTGTTGAAACACGACGACCCTCTTCAAGGGAAGATGTTTAATAATACGGGCGTAAATCTTTAACGTTTATCTTGGATTATTGGATTACCTGGACACCTGTACATAATATTTTTTTTTTGGGGGGGGGAGGAGTTTTGTATTGGTTCCTGAAGTAAGGAATTTACATGAAGTTGCTACATGGGTTTTGTCTTAAATGGGACTTGTTTAGAAGTGCTCATTTTAAGCTTTGGATAGCTGTCGTGTTTAACATGTAATATTTAGCTCGTCTCGTCCGTGTTGCCAGATCTTCAAACGGCTTACATGTAACCTTTTCATAGCTGTTCAATCTTGTAGTGATACCCAGCACGTAAAGGGCTCTCCATACTACAGATCCTCTGCAAACTGTTGGTGAACGTGCCGTTGATGGTGGGGGCCATGGCCACCATCATCATGGGTTACTCTGTCCAACACATCATAGCAGCTGTGGTCAACTTCATTATCGTCGCCGTCCAGGTAATACTCCCTTGTTTGGCATAATAAAGGAACTGGGGGATATCCATGCCTGTACTGTACATCATCTATCTTTAATTAAAGCCCGGAGTAAACTTTGAGACTTCATAAATGGCCACCGCAAATGTTAAACTAAATAGTCAATTTTGAACCGTATTCCTCCTCCTCCCCACCACCCCCACCTCCCCCAGTCGAATTCGTGTATATTTGAGATGAATCTCTTTGGTGTTATTTTAAACTTTCAATGACCGTAAATGGAGGATTTTGAAGTGTTATTGTTGATACGCCAGGACCCGGCTTGGTGGTGTGGCCATGCTAGAGACCTCGTGGATCATTATTTCGCGGTCTTTGTTTAAAATAAATTGACAATTAAGAATTGGTTTAGTTGCGAACATTGATTTTGAATATTGTCATAGTACCTGAATCTGATGTCTTTCAGTTACATATAACCGCGAGCATCATCATGAAGAACACAAAGAACGTGAAGGAGGATAAGGAATTGCTGGTTAAGGCTGGCCCAGAGGAGACCCGGGTGGTGGAGGCATCGACCAGTCTACCCAAAGAATTTGCTTGACCCGTCAACTGAAGGACCTTCTCCTACAGGCACATCACAGCCTTTTTGAAAAATGAAGCGGGATTATTCAGGTGAATAACTTGAATATTGGTCTTGTCTGAAAAAATTATGTATTACTTGTAAATATGTTTGAAGATACTTTCTTGAGAAACCCTCGAGACACTTTGTAGCAAGTTTTTGGTCTGTACATTTGTATATCCTCTAAGTATTGGTCTGGGTGTTCCATCAAAATAATAAAAGTTTTAAGGTCTGGTGCCAGAAGACCTGAAGGAAGTACACGGAGGTACTGAAGGGAGAGCCACCCTGAGTAATAGTCAGGCTTTAGAAGTCAATACAATATTTTATACTTTGTTTTTGGTTTTTCATTTACTGTATATTTAAAAAAGTAGTGGAATGCTGTTAACCCGTGACGGAGTTGGTTTAAAACGTGTACATAATTTTAACATTTTGGTTTTTACTAATATATATATATATACAGTATATCAATAAAGTGTTTGTGAAATGTTCATTATGTATCTTCCCCAGTGGTTCTGTGGCTTAATTTAGATTCCCAAAATAGAACTGAAAATTTTGCGACCGTTTGTCTCGATAGCGAAAGTTTGAAAAAGGTCAGGTCAGGTTGTCACTCGGGAGTCCTGTATTGGGTCACGAGTTGCTTATAGAAGATAGTGTAAACCGTAAAAGTCGGAAGGCGTGTAAAAATTGGTGAACCACTGGGCGCACGGTTGCTCTCTCATGGGAGCAGTCCGTCAGGTGGCATGGCCTTCAATATGGTTAGTTAAATGTATTTTACTGTGATCCTTGGACAGAAAGATGACACTTTTGTTTTGAACTGTATATTTGCATCCGTATTGAATTTCTTTGAGAAAAAATAAACTTTCATTAGTATTTTTAATTTGTTTTACTAATGTTCTTAAAACTACCTGGTAATATAAAAAGTATCAAAGACAAATCTACTCTAGATGCTCTACGTTATGGTTACAACTGTCCCCACCACACTAGACACTGACGCACGTACTAAGCCTCTTTTAGAACTCGTATCTGGAGAAGTAATAAAACTGTCTTTGTAAACATGAGTGAGTGGCATAATATCCTGTGCTATGAACCGAAGTCAAGGATCTTGAGTACAGCAGCAGCTCAATGTCCTATGTAACGACTTCACATAATACTTCTGGTCAGTCTTGCATTATCCTGAGGAACTGTCGGGTGGGTTGTGTTAGTGCAGTATATCTAAGTAATTAAAAGTAAAGGTTTATTTCTGGTAATAGTTGCCTTGAATTTTGTTTTTGTCAGACCCTCAAGACATTTATTAAAGCCTAGCACTCATAACTACAGAATGTGACTGTCGATCCTAACATGGTATCAAACTAGGCATAATGGCAATGTTTCGTAGGCTGCACGTGTACCTTCATCGGCCCCAAGAAATATACGACCCACCTTGCTTCACATCTACTGAAGACACTGGGTTATCACATCTAGACGATAGTAGGTCTCTTACGAAGCATTAGGCCTCATTCGGCGTCAATATATAACGTTGGGTCCTGATAAGAAAACTGTCACTGGACCATAATTATCACACGTCGCTGGGCAATTACAACCCTCACCCTTGAGGTTAGGAGTCGCCTGCCGGAGGGTCGACGATGCGATACACTCCTCCTCTTAGACCCAGCCGACGACTCTGGAAAAATACAATGAACTTGTCACAAACAAATGCTTTTAAAAAGAGGACAGTGACAAATACATCTTATTTTACACCTTTGGATTCAGAATTTAACTTGAAGGGAGTCCCATAGGTATGATTGCCCGTTAGGGACAATGGATACAGCACACTGTATACTAAGCCTTCGGTACACAAGGAGGCAGCATGGCCAGCACTGCTCTCGACCGCCTTCACTTGGGTTAGTACCTATTAACAGCTGCGTGTACTGTGAGCGGCCGGGAATCGAACCACCAATCCAGTGAATTCATAAATACTTCGGAATAAATAAATTTTATAGGAGTAGCTTTATTTCCCTACTTCCTGGGCTTACTTGGTTCAATTAGAGGCTATAATTACTATTATTAAGATGACAATGAAAGACTAAATTTAAATCGCTAGAATAATAAACCGATTACGATTCTCTGTTTGTTTACATACCCGCCGCTGCTGCAGCACCTCCTGCCTCATCTGAATATGTTGACGCAGGTCCTGGATCTGCTCTAACAGGTCAGCGTTCACCTGGTGCAGGCCGTCGTTCCCAGCCTGCATGCGGTCTCTGAAATGAAAGTTATGGTTAAATTCTCACCGCCACCCAGCCTAGTATCCCCGGCCAGTAGTGTGTGTACATCAATATCTCTGGTTTTCTCTTATTCTCTTCACCACTGATCGGCTTGTTAGCCGCTTGGGCGATCATTCACTATACACACTACTGTATCTGTCTTGCTTTTGGTCTGTAGCATGACAGCTACTCGCTCATACCCACCAACTTAAGGTCTGTACTCGTTGTCTGTAACAATTTTCCCCTTACAACTGACTTAACTAAAGATACATCCTTACTTGTCACTGACTAGTTGACTGACCTATGAAGTGTACTTAATGACCATCTTAGATTTAACTAAACTAATATATTAATAATGTCCTGTATAGTACTTACTTCTTTATTCTGTAAAATACAAATATAAACATTATCCAGAAGTAATGTCCCGGAGACGTGTGTCTGGGGAGTGGGGTGAGGTTGAACGTTTATAAACTTTAGTACAGCGAGTTCCAACTTGTAATTATCTGAGATTATGAGATGAAAGTTGGACACCTTTTAGTAGCCAAATGTTATGAGCGTGTGGGTTTTTACCTAAGGGGTTAGTTCACTTACAAACGTCTTCTCGACGCTTCCATCAGGAGCTCAGCCACTGGTGAAAATCCTGTAGGCATCTTGTGACGTTTTCTTGACAGCTGCTGCTTCAGTGTGTACAGTATATCCACAGATGTTACGACTGATGCTGATGTAACTTTATTTCTATACTAATCTCGAGCTGGCTGTTGCAGGGACTCAACAGAGATGAGGACTGCTGTGTGGCCTCTGTACGCTGTTTACATGTCCACTATTACTGTCGATGTTACTTTGGCTGTTGTTAGTAGTGGTGCTATTTGTACTGTATGTTTCTTTTGCTGTTGTTGCTGACTGGAACTTTGTAGCTGACACCGATACCTTCGCTTTCCTGTCAGAGCGTTTAATCCCTCAAAGCCTCCCACAGTACAGTCTCTGTGAGGCTTTGTTATTGTTCTACCTGTCGTGATAAGGGAAAAATAGCAAACATTATATCTCGCAGTTCTAAAAAAGTCACTGAAATAAAAAAAAATCAAGTGTTTATGTTACCAGGATAAAAACATACGATGAGAAATGTTTCCTTAATATGAGATGTGTCTTCACGACTTTCCTTCACAAGAGTGTGTGTGTGTGCTGATATACTTGGGTTGTGGCTATATTTTGGTGATGGAGTATGACTAAATTTAGCACTGTGTTTGGGAGGGGCAGAATATTTGTGTTGTTGTAAATTTCAAGTGTACAATGTTTAATGGCATTGAGGGTGGATATACTATGTTGGATTATTAACTACATAAATTATCATGCATGAATTATAGAGTTTTATCACCAAACTAAAAGTTGAAGTGACCATTCCGAAATTACTGTGTTTATATAGAAGGCACTGCTAAAGCTTTTACCATTTTCTATACAGTAAACTGTGTTTATGTCCGTTTTCTTTGTACTGGTGTCACTGTCCTGTTGTATAAATAACACTCTTTGTGCTCAGTCCCGAGTCTGTGTTTTATGAATCGGTGATTAATACAGACAAGTTTAAATTACTATATGCATGATTTCACTCGATGATTGACATTGTTTATAGTCGAGATTGTCATTATAATTGTATTGATTATAATTAACATTTACTATCATGTTTTGTGTGTTGCGTAGAACGTAGAGTTAATATTATCCCAGCACACGTACAGTACATAAGAAACACTTCACATGTAGTATAAATATATTATCATATCAATCAAGAACAGTTCTGGGCTTCAAAATAGTCCTTGACAAAATTATCAGGAACAATAGAGGGATCCTACACAAACTACTGGCCTCCTTCCCTTGCTTGGCCACCTCTAGTGGGTAACCTTGAGGTAAATAAGATAAAGTGCTGCATCTCACGTCATTGTAGGTCTTGATATATTATTATTTTTTAACTTTACCTGATCATACTTCACTTGAGCCCCTTCGTCACTAAACACTTTGATAGCTTTACGAATATCATGTTTCACAAAGTGTGTTCGGGTCCTCTAATACACCCAGAAGTTCCTGTCAGTGTAATAATCCACCTACAAATGAACGCCACAACCTTATCAAACGTTTAAAATCATTGTGCATATCCACTTCGTTGTCACTTGATATAAATATTCTCTAAACTCAAAATATTTCTCCACCTATTGTAAACGACTTTTTTCACTGTAAAATTTTATATCCACTGTTAAAAACCTTCTCTTCGGTGCAGGACGAGACCTTCCGCCTCGAGGTAGCAAGTCTAGCAACTGTGGTAAGCCGCATCACTGTATGTGGACAACCTGACGCACTTGGCAGCCGCGTCCTACCCGGCCCACAGCGCAGCATCACCTGCCAGCCATTACCTGCCAAGTCACAAAAGCAACCTCTGATGACTCCTTACATTAGGCGCATATTAACAAAGCAGGTACTGTATATTGAAAAGATTACACGATTCCAACACAACGTCACCATTCTATGTCTTATTTAAGTGAAACATTAACACAATAATACTTACATTTCACAGATTATGAGTATGTATTAGTTGAAGCAATAAGTAGTAGTTCATTGTGTTCTACCACGAATGACATTACATGATGTAGTAGTTACTAACATTTGTGATGCCCAGTAAAAAGGCAGAACGTCTTGAGCAGTGGTTCTGGTCTTAAGGTGACATAGTCGTAGAGGCGGTGTGATGGCTGTGATGTTGTTGGTTTTGATGCTTGTATTATGACGTCTTCGATCTTAACTAATCTTGATATTATTTTTTTCATGAATTTATAAATAACAACTCAAGCGGTATTCCTGGTGCCTTAGAGACGCAACAAGCCTCACCTGACGTCTTGGCACATCACTCTTCCCTCTACACCATTTATATACACCATTTATACCAAGTTTCGTATAATTTTTTTTATTTTTTTTTTATAATTTTTCTTTCTTTTTATTTTTTTTTATTTATTTATTTTTTTATTTTTTTTTTTTATAATTTTTTTTTTAATTTATTTTTAATTTTTTTATTTAAATTTATTTTTTTTATTTTTTTATAAAATTTTTTTTTATAATTTTTTTTATATTAATTTTTTAATTTTTTTTTATAATAATTTTTTTTATAATAATTTTTTTTATATAAATTATATTATTTTTTATATAATTTTGTTTTATAATTTTTTTATAATTTTTTTATAATTTTTTTATAATTTTGTATTTTTTTTTATAATTTTTTTATATATTTTTTTTTATAATTTTTTTTATATATTTTTTATATTTTTTTTTTTTTTTTATAATTTTTTTTTTTTTTATAATTTTTTTATATTTTTTTATAATTTTTTTTTTTTTTATAATTTTTTTATTAATCGCCCATAAGGCGATTACCGCCACTCATTCTTATGGCCCCCCTGCCGCCATTAATCGCCCGTAAGGCGATTGCCGCCACTCATTCTTATCGCCTCCCTGCCGCCGTTAATCGCCCGTAAGGCGATTGGCGCCACTCATTCTTATGGCCCCCCTGCCACCGTTAATCGCCCGTAAGGCGATTGCCGCCACTCATTCTTATCGCCTCCCTGCCGCCGTTAATCGCCCGTAAGGCGATTGCCGCCACTCATTCATATGGCCCCCCTGCCGCCGTTAATCGCCCGTAAGGCGATTGCCTCCACTCATTCTTATCGCCTCCCTGCCGCCGTTAATCGCCCGTAAGGCGATTGCCGCCACTCATTCTTATCGCCTCCCTCGTCATTGCTAATCGCCCGTAAGGCGATTGCCGCCACTCATTCTTATGGCCCCCTGCCGCCGTTAATCACCCGTAAGGCGATTGCCGCCACTCATTCTTATGGCCTCCCTGCCGCCGTTAATCGTCCGTAAGGCGATTGCCGCCACTCATTCTTATGGCCTCCCTGCCGTCGTTAATATCCCATAAGGCGATTGCCGCCACTCAATCTTATGGCCTCCCTGCCGCCGTTAATCGCCGGTAAGGGGATTGCGACTCATTGCCGCCGCCATTAATCGCCCATAAGGCGATTGCCGCCATTCATTCTTATCGCCCCCCTGCCGCCGTTAATCGCCGTAAGGCGATTGCCGCCACTCATTCTTATCGCCCCCCTGCCGCCGTTAATCGCCCATAAGGCGATTGCCGGCACTCATTCTATCGCCCCCTGCCGTTAATCGCCCGTAAGGCGATTGCCGCCACCATTCTTATCGCCCCCGTCGCCGTTAATCGTCTGTGAAGGCGATTGCCGCCACTCATTCTTATGGCCCCTTCCGCTGTTAATCGCCCATAAGGCGATTGCCGCCACTCATTCTTATCGCCCCCCTGCCGCCAGTAATCGCCCGTAAGGCGATTGCCGCCACTCATTCTTATCGCCCCCCTGCCTCCAGTAATCGCCCGTAAGGCGATTGCCGCCACTCATTCTTATAGCCCCCCTGCCGCTGTTAATCGCCCATAAGGCGATTGCCGCCACTCATTCTTATGGCAATAAATCTTGGCCCAAGACAGACGAGGACTGGGTACCCTAGCTATAAACATTACGACAAAACTTCATATTAATGTTGTCTTTATGTTGATGTTTATAGAAAACATTTACAGTATGTGTGTAATGAATGATAACCTTATAAATGAGAGAGAGAGAGATAAGAACAGATGAGTTCAACACCACACAGTACAGCAATACTCACAAGAAGTGTGTACAGGTTCAGACAGAATATAGATGAACCAGAGGGAGAGGAACTTGTCCGCCTCATCTGTCTTGACATAAGCAAGTTTGCGGATGACACCAAAATAGGGTGGCAGATTATTTCAGGGCAGGATGCAAATTCATTACAGGAGGATCTAAAACTGCAGGGGTGATCTGAAAAATGGCAAATGAAATTCAACACCAGCAAGTGCAGCGTACTTAATATTGGAAGAACAAATACTGTCAATGTATACAGTCTTGACATCAACCTAGAAAAGTCGACTTGTGAAAGAGACCTAGGGGTACTTGTAAGCCCGGACCTACGGCCTAAAAAACGGTGCCTTAATGTTCAAAATAAGGCAAACAGTATTGGGTTTTATATCTAGAAGTGTAAGTTACAAGAGTGCAGAGGTCTTATTGCAACTATGTCTCGCACTAGTCAGGCCGCACCTCGATTATGTGGTTCAGTTCTGGTGCCCCTGTAATGGTCATGATAAGAGCTAACCGGAAAACCTTAAGGATTCATATTACGCTCAAACGTCCACAAAACCTTCTGAGTCCCCCAGTGGAAACGTCCCCCGTTTTCTCTGTTTCCCCCGTCCTTGTCTATGGGAGCTTGGAATATAATCCGCGGATTTAGTAGCAGACGCTGTATGCTGGGACCTGTTGCCATCCAACCCTTTGTAATCAATTTAATTTTGCTTTTGATAGCTGAGTCAGAGCATTGTTAGTGAAGATAATAGTAGAGAATGAAAATGAGTTCATAGTCTCAATTTCAACGTCAGAGTGTACAGTAAATTAATTCATCGGAATAGGAGTAGGTGGACTCCCTGGTCTGGTTTGAGTGAGGGCGCCGCGGGCATTTCTACCATTAGTAAGTGCCCGTCCCTTCATCCATACAGATATGCCATTCCACTCTGTGTTGTAATTCGCCCTTCTTTAAGTGATTTGACCCAATTAATAGTTGCTTGTGCAAGCGTTACAGTAACGTAGTTGATATGCTCTGAGTGAAGTCATATTTACGTCTTTAACGTCCCCTGAAACGTGATGTTGTTGTCACCGGTTAGTAAGTGCCCGTCCCTTCATCCATACAGGTCCCTAACGCAGCCTAGGCCGTGTCTGTAGCGTGGATGTTGTATCCACTATGTCTGGGGAGATGTCCGAGGTCCAGTAGGATCAGTTACCTTCGTGAGACCCGGCCGTCAGACACTTCAGACTACCTATAGCCCCCATAGCTGGCTCGTCTGGCCCTAACGCTCGGTCCACGAGGTGACGCCGGATCACCAAGCCACACACCACTACCAGCCCCCATCATTGGTGGATGAGTGTCTAACTCAGTAGGGCTATTTGTGTGGTGGAATTAATCCACTGGGATCTCCAGAGTTCGTCGGATAGTACTCCATGGTGGCTGGACCCCATGGCTGTTGCTTGAGTAACACACCTGACGACTGAGTGTTGTAGTGGCAGTTGCCCTAGTATTTATGGTGCTAAGTGACTATAATAGTTGTGTTATTGAGTATGTCCACCCAGTAGGGTTGGAAGTGTTATTGAATATGTCCACCCAGTAATGGTGTGAGTATGTTGAGCCTGAGGGCCTAGTACTAGATTTCGTCTGTTAGTACAAATAAATTCTTTCTTCTAATTTCATATTCATGTTTAAATAAACTTTGTATTTGTATAATTGTGTCTATTATTTACCTACAGTATTTACCGTTATTTCTTCCCTATTGCTTGATACTATCATTACACCTACCCACGAGCCTCCTATCGTCACGCTACCAATGGTGATAAGTATAAGAGTAAAAGGAATTGTTACTGGCACACAGAGGCCCTCATAAATGGTGACAGTTCAGGCCCTCATACCCCTATTATAGAATGGATATCAATTCACTAGAGTTGG